GGGTGGGGGGAAGTGGAACTAGTTTTATTCTTCATAGTACTCTAAAGAAAGGTCTCAATGAAAGGAATTAATTTCTACCAACCATAGCCCTCCTCCTCGACCTCTTATCGTGATCGGGTATATTCCCTTATATCTGAAGAACGGATTGTCGGAAGAGGTTACTCACAAAGGGCGATTGAGACGTCTGCAAGAAATATATCCATTGGTGATGTCAAAACAAAAGCTATTTCGGTTTAAAAAAATGCGTTTTATCTGCACAAGAGTTGTGCACAATTTAGCTATTATTTTTCTCTGATTTAGATTAATTTAGCTACGTAAAAAAACCTATTTGGATCGGGAAATAATTTTTTTTGCCAAAATATATTATTCTAGCCTGATCAGCAGAAACTAAATTCGTCTTCTACATTAATATACAGGGTGGTGCCTAGCGCGACGCAGCATAGGGATTTCAATGGTAATTTCTTTATAGTCAATTACTAGCTCCCCTAATTATTTTAGATCAAAAGTCTAAATACGTTTTTTTTTAGAGAAAAAAATACTGCATCTGTTCCATACCATTAGTTATAACTTTCCATTTTTCAAAACCGTAGAAATCGACAAAATAAAAAAGTTCATTTTACAATAAATCAAATATGCCTTGGAATTCCCTACGGAAAAATAAACACTAAACAAGCATTACTTTTTGCCATTACAAATTTACCAACTGAGTTTCATATTACGCCAACTACCAAAAAAGTAAGGGGGAGGCATCGGTATGGTTTGGATGGTTTAAAGGTAACGACGCGCTCCTTTAACAGGTCACAATCGCAGTGATTTCTAAAACAATCTTCTATCAATCATGCGCTGTCTATTCGCAACTTAACTAAGTGAAGCGCTGTTAAATTTTACATTGCGATGCGTACTTATTGTTTTTTTAATCTATGCACTCAGGAAGCATTTTTTATTATTAAAATGTGCAAAAAATTTAGGTGACATTGTATTTGTTATTTTAAGTGTCTGCATACTATTTTCGCAAAGAAAATATTTAAGACGCTGCGAACAAAATTTATATAAGATTACAATCTGTGTTTATCTAGTGCAGTAAGTAGGTATTATGTTTGGTTATCGTTACTTAGCAACAAATTTGGTGATATACAAATTGTCAATTATAGTGGAAAGACAGGTAAAGACCATTTTCCCGAAGAATTATGGAACAAACAGATAACAAATAAATATAAATAAAGAGAAAGAAATCAACACCCACACTGGACGACTCCTTGAAGATGGCATCGGCTCTAGTTAGAATAGTCACTCTTATTTCACACCAAATTCTTTTAGTTTTGTTTTGGGTGGGCCTAACTTAATGAGAAAGTAACCGCACTCATCACACTTTTAATTTACTGCTGTAAATAATTAGCAACAATCTCGGCAACAATATAGATAAGTAATTAGCTCGGTAATGAGCAATTGTTTTCTAGATACGGGAAACAGTTTTCTATGGGTGAGGTGGGGGTGGGGGGGAACTTAATGATCCTGTCAGAATGGGGACAACCCTCATTCTACCCAAACAAAATCCAGCATTCTAATGATCACTAGATCCATATTAGGAATCAGCACTAAAAATACCAATTTAGTATTTTGTAGGCAGCAGTGATAACCAAGAGGATGACGCCATTTACCATTAGGGAAAGTATTTTACGAAAAATTGTAATTTTAATCATTTAAAAAGATAGTTAATTTTTGATTTTTGAAATTCATGATTGTTTCCAAGTCCTGATACAAAATACACACAATTAACATTATATAACAAGTTATGTATTTGGATGTGAAATAAATATTATTGCTCACCATTGAATGGTTTATTGAATAAGTAGGTGGACTGGGAATTTTTAAATTTATGTATTCGAGTGGTTATTTGAATATTCGAGTAAGTACAAAAATAATTGGTGTATTGAAATATCCAGATACTGGACATACTGGTGTGATGTATTGAACGCGACTATATTTTTAAGTTGGTATTGTAGTATTGTAGTTTAGTTTGGTAACAATGCAATGCATCATGTCCGTTTCCGTAAGTCAGTAATGTACCTACCACGTTGTATTACCTTCGTCAGTTTTGTGTTAATATAGAGTCTTTCGGTCAATGTCCAGTTATTTACACGAACTCAGTACCGTCAAATATAATAGTGGGCAAACATAATAGTGGCGACGAGGATGGCGCTAATCGGCTCAATCGAGCATTTCCTGCAGAGGAGTTTGAAATGTACATAGAGCGTGTCGAGCACCTATTTTTAGTGAATTGCGTAGAGGAGAAGATGAAAGTATCGTGGTTTATTACACTAGCCGGTCCAGTCGTTTATAGTACTTTAAAAAATGTGGTGGCACCACAAAATCCAGCAGAGAAGAGTTACGAGCAGGTGATTACCGTGTTACGAGGGCATTATGTACCAGAAAAATCGGAGATAAGTGAACGGTTTAGGTTTAACAAATGTAATCAAAAGTCAGATCAGTCAGTCGCAGAGTACATAGTGGAACTTAAACAGTTGTCAAACACATGCAAGTTCGGGGCCTTTTTGGAAGAAGCGTTACGTGACAGGCTAGTGTGTGGGTTATATTCGGAGGCCCTACAAAAAAAACTCTTAGCGGAACGGGAGCTAACATTTGCAAAAGCATGCACCATGGCACAAGCGCATGAAATGGCAGCAAGTCAAGTCAAATTATTGTCGGCAGGTGAGGTACATAGCAGAAAACAGAATCCAGTCGAGTGTCATATAATACAAAGGGGTCAAATAAAAGACAGTCATCAAGTAAGCAGTCAGGCAGTAAACCGTCAACAATCCAGCAGTCCGAACAGTCTAAGCAGTTTACAAGATCATGTCATCGGTGTGGCAGGAGCCACAACCCAAATTTGTGTCCGGCAGCCCAGTGGGAATGTTTCGTCTGCAGAAAGAGAGGACACACTTCCAAAGTTTGTCGGAGTAAGGGGCAGATAAAAGCAGTGGAGGAGTCGCAAGGAGAATCCAGTCAACAGCAAGTCCAAGTCAATACAGACTTGTATTCTTTAAATAATGTTAAGGGTATAAGTACAGAAAATTTGCCTCACAAATTGAAATTAAATGTGTCTAATAGAATGATATGTTTTGAAGTCGATACAGGGGCATGTAAAACTGTTATGTCTGTAGATGTATTCAATGATAAGCTAAGTGGATGTTATTTGAGTCAAGTGTCGTATAATTTAAGCTCAGTCACAGGTCAAGTTATAAAAGCAGTAGGGGAACAGAAGGTAGAAGTTGTAAAAGGGAAGAAGAAGTATGTCTTACCTTTAACTATAGTCAAATCTGAAAAGAATTTTATGCCTTTGTTAGGCAGAGATTGGTTAAATATCTTATTTCCAGGATGGCAAGGTAATTTTACATTAGCTGCGCTTTCTTGTAGTCAAGTTGAAAATTTAAAACAAATGTACAAGTCAGTGTTTAACTCAGATTTAACCACCCCTATTAAAGGATTTGAAATTAAGCTAGCCATGAAAGACAATGTGAAACCAATATTTAAAAAAGCTTACAACATGCCATACGCATTAAGGCCAAAGGTAGAAAATAAATTAAAGGCGTTAGTAAAAACAGGTATCATTGAATCAGTAACAAATAGTGAATGGGCTTCACCCATCGTAGTTGTACAAAAGAAGGATGGAGATGTACGGATATGTGTCGATTTCCGAATATCGGTGAACAAAGTTTTAATTGCTGAACAATATCCCTTGCCAACCATGGATGATATTTTTTCATCATTGGCAGGTGGTGAAGTTTTTACTGTGCTTGATCTAACGGGAGCGTATTCTCAGTTAAAAGTCGATAAGTGTTCTCAAGAACTGCTCACAATAAACACACATATGGGTCTATTTAGGTATACACGTTTAACATTTGGGTTAACGAGTGCTCCATCCATATTCCAGTCAGTCATGGATAGGATTTTAGTGGGAATTCCTAAGGTGAATTGTTATTTAGATGACATTTTAATAGCTGGTAAGGATTTTAAAGAATGCTATTCGTTAGTATGTCAAGTCTTAGATCGTTTGGAAAAATACGGAGTCAAAGTAAATTTGTCAAAATGTAAATTTTTTGAAAATAGTGTGGAGTATTTAGGTCATTGTATTGACAAAGAGGGAATTCATCCTACAGCAGAAAAAGTACGAGCCATAATGGAGGCACCAAATCCAGAAAATGTAACTCAATTAAGGGCATATCTTGGCTTATTAAATTATTATGCAAAATTTGTGCCGATGTCATCATCAAAATTGTCACCTTTGTATTCATTATTAGAAAGAGATACAGAGTTTATATGGTCACAGGAATGTAAAAATGCATTTGAGCGTAGTAAAAAGCTAATTGAACAAAACCAGGTTCTGGTACATTATGATCCAACACAAACAATTGTAATATCAAGTGATGCCAGCTCATACGGGGTCGGTAGTGTTTTGAGTCATCGTATTAACGGAGTAGATAGACCAGTATCTTTTGTATCTGGGACGCTATCAAAAGCAGAAAAAAATTATTCTCAAATAGAGCGGGAGGCATTAGCCATAATTTTCGGAATAAAAAAATTCCACAAATTCATTTACGGACGGCAATTTATTCTAGTATCAGATCATAAACCCTTAAAAGTCATTTTTAATCCAGAAAAGGGAATTTCAGTAATGTCAGCTTCACGTATAGTTCGGTGGAATGTAATGTTGTCCGCATACGATTATAGTATTGAGTATAAAAAAGGGGTCGACTTGAAAGAAGCAGATGCTCTTTCTTGTTTACCATTGAAGGAGCCTACTAATGTGGAGTCGTCGATAAATTCATTTAGTACGGGAAATGAAATACCATTATCTAGCGTAGAAATAGGTAAAATGTCAGAAAAAGATCAAATCTTGATCAAAGTTAAAGATTTTATCCTAAGAGGTTGGCCAAACCAGATCAAAGATCCTGTAATAAAACCATTTTTCCTAAAACGAGGGGAATTATCAGTTGAACGAAATTGCGTTATGGTTGGTAATAGAGTAGTAATTCCGGAGGTGTTGAAGTCAAAAGTTTTGGAACTAATTCATGCTGATCATGTGGGTATCGTAAGATCCAAAATGAGAACATCTGTTTGGTGGCCAGGTTTAAATGAGGAACTAGAGCAATCAATAAACAAATGTCGCATATGTCAAGAGTCACAAAACAATGCTCGTGAAACTAATTTAATATCTTGGCCTAAAACAGAAAATATATATATGACCGAGGGGTTGACCGCTGGGCAAAATTGTGTACACCACATTTGCCATTTTCCACATTTGCTACATTTGCCAGACATTTGCTACATTTACTACATTTACACAACATTTGCTACATTCGCTATAAATTTACCAGAAATTTGCTACATTTACTACATTTACACAACATTTGCTACATTCGCTATAAATTTACCAGAAATTTGCCACATTTACTGCATTTACACAACATTTACTACATTCGCTATAAATTTACCAGAAATTTGTTACTTTTGCTCATCATTTAGGTACTACATACAGTTAAATATGTACAAGCATTTCCGCGGGTCATTTGGTAATTGAAATATTACCTGGGTATATATTTTCTTATTTTGTGAGCTTTGGAACAGGTTAAACACACAATATACAATATTGTCCCAACTACAAATCAAAGTTTACTTTTGACTTAAAACATACACAATTTAAAAATAGTTTGAATAAACAACATTACTTATACATTTTTTTAATTGATTTGTATTTCCTTTTTATGGCGTTACGATTTTCTTCTGAGATTGTCATGTTATTTGTTCCGATCATCTTTATTGGACCAAAAAAAATGTATTGTTGGTCCACAGTTTGTACGTCATCATCTTTAGGCCATATGAATGTATTGAGTTGAGACTGGAGAAACTTGATTTTGTAACATTTATCTTCAGACTGGGTTATTACGCGACCTATATACCATGATTCGGAATAGTATACCGCATAATATGATTCTAAAACCGGTTTAAGTGGGTGAGTTTCAGATGTACTTTCAGTTCTCGGACTGCGACTGTTATAATTCTGATCTGCTCTAACGCGCAGCAGACGATCAGAACTCAACCTAAAAGGTAATAGAATGTATTAGATTAGATGATACTAATTAACTGCCACATTAAATACCTTTTCACATTATCGTCCAAAAACCAACACAATGTTTTCTTTCTTATCGTTTTAATTTGACCATTTTGGCATTTGATTTTGACATAGGGGCTTCTTTCATGAATTGGTTCTTCAACAGGAACGTCAGCGAAATTCAAATCCTGGAAGTTGATTAAGGAATCACTATGGTCATCATCTTGTTCTTGATCCTCGCTTGTTTCGCTATCATCCTGTTGGTCAACAAATTGGCGTAACACATCATTCGTAGCCGGTTCATATGAAAATTCTTCTGACAAATTTAAGTCAACACAATGATAATCCAATGCATCTGGATCCTGTAATTTATACGGTTGTGAATCAATACTCCCGTCAAATATCATAATTTGTTCCCAAAGGTTTTGAGTATCATCGTTATCTCGATCGTTATATATACCCAATAACTTGCAATCATTTATCGCCTCTTGCAATGCTGTCATACATACTGACTCGATTTCTTCATCACAAGGGAACACAATACCAATCGAGTTATGTGCAGTTCCCATTCTAGATGACCCTTCCCGTGGAAATACAAATGTATCGCGCAAATCACTCATAATACTTACAATAGTCTCTATTTTATTAATTCTGTTCAACATTTCCATTAAACTAAAATTAACTATCGTAGAGTACGTTGACGTGAGTGATCTGGTAGCGCGAAAAATTTGCTCACATGGTTGAGAGCTGAAGAGCCAAGTGGCAAAATCCGTATCAAGTTTTTCTTCCCTAAATTTTCGGATGATCTTAATCAGGGCATGAGCATTCATTTCAATACACAAGTACGCATTGAGAGTTATAAAATTTTCAGTCACTGTGTATGACTCGGAATTTCTTACCCAACTCCTCCATATACGAAGAAAAAAGACCGCATACCAAATCAGTTGCAATCGCCTTACAGGACTAAGGTCTTTCCTGAGAAAAGCATCAAGTACAGATCTGAGTATTTTAAGATATGCAACAGTTCCTTCGCTGTTTGGAACACTTTTTTTAAGAAGTTCAGACACTTTAGGAGCAATAATTTTTTCAACAGATCGGAAATTCATTTTGTCTTGTGAATTTAGGTCTCCTAAGGTCAGAAGGTGTTTATCTTTAGACACAGTCTCAATTAGAGTTTTAAGATGATCCGATGATGCTATAAAATTTCCAAGAGCGAGCGTGACTTTTTGATTGATTAAACGCGTTTTTAATTTTGTTCCGATGTGAACTGTGTCCTGAGTGCAAATATTGCCAGTATCTAATGGCATGTGAAACCACTTCCACTTTTCTGTTACCTGGTTAGAAAGTTTTGTTGTGAGCCGCATCGCTTTCAGCAACCTCGTGTCCCCGTCTGACGAGAAACCCAAAAGTTCTATGTTATACCGACGTGCAGATACCTTCATTTGTTCCCATCGCTGTATTACATCATTATGCGTGAATTTGTTATTAGTACCGAAAATGTTAAGACAAAACGAAGGGGTTTTATCAATTGGACATTGGGCCATGATTGCGTACCCATATTGAGCTCGTTCTCCTTCCACAAAGATCTGTTGGATTCTTCGTGCCGAAGTTGCTTCGAAGTAGTTCTCACGTGGCAATCCATTATGCTGTGGAATGACAAATCCAACCACCAAGTTATTGTGTGAAGAGTATCCTATTTTCCCTGTAATCTTTGTCGCATCTTCGCTTATCCACACGACGCTTGGCAATCCACGACTATCAAGAAATCTTCTCAGATCTGCAAAGCGTAATTCCCCTTCTTGTATATTTGAATTAGTAATAGAACGGTGTAAAGTTGTTATTGAAGGAATAACGTTTTTCAAATTTGCATATAATGTCTCGTATAGCATTCTCCCTCCAATTAAGAATAGGTACAAGCAGAATTTTTTTACACTTTCGTCAAATCTGTTTTTTGATTTCGTTTTGGAAGCATTGGCAGCAGCTGTATCAAGCATAATATTTAAAAAAATTGACACAGGAGCTCCCGTTAACGATGCACCGCCAACCTTGTCACCCAATAATCGGAACTTTTTGGCTTGTTCTTGAATTATTTCTTTTAATTGACTATTTTCGATTAACACCTTCTCAATGTCTTTTAGTGGCTTATAAAAATTGGTTATAAGCAGCTGTTTTTCATCATCAAAAGAATTTTCGCGGCCACGTCGATTTCTTTCACAGCGCGAGTATTTCGGAGATAACCACTTGTTTTCAACAAGGACCGAAGTCGGTTGTTGTTGGGGCTGGTGTAACGATTGCTCAACAGAACTGTAAGCCCCTTCATGTACAATTCCGTCTGTTTGAAAATCCCGAGGAAAATCCTGTTCGGTACCGCTTTCAATGTCTGATAAAATTATTTGCTTGTTTGCTTTTTTTCTTGGTTGAATGATATCTTCATCCTCTTCTTCTGATGATAAGACAGCAGATACTACGACTTCAACATCTGATCTTGTTTCTTGTGCGTCTTCACCTATTTTCTCATCTACTCTAGAGATGGTGGGTATAAAGGAAGAACTAGTAGACGGTTCAGAACAGAATGTATGTAGTGTGGGTTGGCGAATCGTGCGCTTAGATTTTGGCTTAGAGTTATCCTGGAATTTATCTTTATTTGAGTCCTTATTTTTCAAATGTTTGTTAACATGTTGATAAAAATTCGAAAAAGACCAATGGGTGTTGTGATTCTTAGGCAGTTTTTTCACCTAAAATTGAAGTAGTACACGTTAACAGGCGCCGGGCACAAGTTGATAATGTATTCCAAGTAGTTATATATTTATAGTTCTGTACCTTAGTAATGTTCAGATACACATTACACTCCAAGGATACTTTAAAAAAATCCTCGCTGCGCTGGAATTGTGTCAAAGTATCCAAAAACTGTAATTGGTATCTGGACATTACAAAGTGAGCGTTTTATATGAGATCGAAAGAGTCTCGGAAAGAGTTAAAAATTGTTATTATTTTATGTATACGAAATTCTCGTCAATCAGAGTGCATTATTCTACCTAGTACATATGATATTACAGAGGGTAATACCGATAATACTTGATATATATGTAGTAACTACATGTTGAGATAGATTCTGACATATCTGACGTATTTAAGCAAAAGCAAAATTTTATACATAAAATAATTTTAACAAATCTAATGCAGGAATTGATTTCTAAGTGCTAAGATAAAATACCAATCATAAAATCGAGCGTACAAAAGCAATGCATACCTTTACTTTCGCATCGCAAATGAAACATGGGATATAACAGCAAATAAAATCGTCGTCATCTGGTGAACACTGGTATTCTATGCTTTTTATTTTAGTGGTATATTCTCGTTCTTCATCTTCTGTGATTTTGCTCTCTTTTTTTAGTAACAAAACCCAAGACACAATGTTTTGTTTTATTTTGGTACTATATTTTGATAAATTTTCAGCCATTTGAAGGTTTGTGTTGTTGCACGTCGAAGCAATGCTGGGTTCTCGGCTAGGTTTGACTTTGCGTTTATTTTGTTGCTGAGACGTAGTTGTAGTTAGTTCACGTTGTGATTCACTCATGGCTAGTAATAACTTTCTGTGTCCCATAAGAAATTTAAAATTTGTAGGCTTCTTCTTAAACAACGGCCCATAATAGTTTTCATACTCTTCTTTATCGATCAAGTCGACAAGTTCGCCTTTTACAAACTCCTCTAGCCTATTAATATCGTCCTCTGATAAATTTTTAATCCCGATTTTATTTGCTAAACCGGACACTTTTACTATATTTTTTAAGAATAGAGGAATTTGGACTTCTAGTTTTTGTTCAATGGAATTGATAAATGTATCCTCCGTATCTCCCCAATCAGAGATTGTCTCAATATTTGCTGTTACCGCCATTGTTTGTTACACTTACGAGCACACCCACCCGCGCATTCAACGATAAAAACGGGAATAAGGGTACTTTATGAATGAAGAACGAAGTTCATTGTCAGACTGATACTTCAAGAAAATGCTATCGCAGTAAAAATGCACAGCATAGAGCGAGGCATGGTGACTCACTGTTAAATGCTATTCATAAATAAACCACCTTTATTTCCGACCTCGTTACGACTGTTATTTGTTGCCATATATACATATATGTTTGTTGCTATGTACTTCATAAAAATGAAAATAATTCGTAGAACAATATTTCCTTTTCAATTCTTATTATTCTCGAAAATAGCTTGGACTACACATAGCCGTAGGCATTTTCTTTGAACTTTTGAATTTGAGCAGGTGTATCACAACATTTAAAATCAATTAAGTCACATTTTGTTATAGCCTTTGTCGTATTTCTTGACTGTACTTAATCTAAGTAAAAATTCCCATAAGAATTTTGTTCTATTAATCCGATTGAATTCATAAAAATTTGTGATTATGTATCAAACAATAATCTTTGCAATTGAACTCGAAATGAAGTCTCTCCGAGATTCTTAAATTTCAAAACAAAAAAAGCAATGTATGCAATCGAAATGTAACAATCATTCTATTACTTTTTCGGTGTATAGGGTAAGGACTCTAGCACATGATTTACGACTGCACTACATGAACGAATGTTAAAACACATTTTTTTGCATAATTTTCACGAATTGTAAGCGTCTGATATACATTTATCTTTACATTTACAAATCATTGATACTCGCATTGATATGTCATATTTCATAAACATTTACTACATTTCTTAAACATTTGCTAAACTATTTTCTACATTTCCTTAACATTTGCCACATTACCTAAACATTTGCTACATTTCCTCATCATTTACTACATTTCCTTAACATTTGCCACATTTCCTGAACATTCGCTACATTTACCCAACATTTGCTACATTTGCTCATCATTTCCTCGGGACTGTACACCACATTTGCCCAGCGGTCAACCCCTCGTATATGACAAAGAGTTCATATTGATTTCTTTCATTTTAAAAGCAAAACCTTTCTATTAATTGTTGACAGCAAATCTAAATGGGTAGATATTCATGCCATGATGAGGGGCACAGATGTAGTTCAGACGATTGAAAAATGTAAATCGACGTTTTCAATATTAGGCATTCCAAATTGTATTGAGTGATAATGGACCCCCATTCAATTCGGGAGAATTTCAAAAATTTTGCCAAGTAAATGGTATTCAACCTTTAAAATCACCACCATATCACCCCCAATCCAATGGATTAGCTAGCTGAAAGAACCATAGGAAGTGTCAAACATGCTCTTTATAAATTTATAAGGGTAGATTCTAGTTTAGGCATAGAACAGCAAGTAATAAATTTTCTGTTTTCGTACCGTAACACACCTAATTCAACAGGTAAAAGTCCAAACGAGTGGTTGTTTAAATTTAAACCAAGAACTAGATTGGACATGCTCAAACCAACTAATAACACTGCGATCATTTTAAAAGAACCGGAAAAATTTAATAGTCCACCAATTTTTACAGTTGGAGAAAAAGTGTTAGTAGGTGGATTGGGTCCTGGTAGTAATGTGAAATGGAAGGAAGGTGTAGTTATGAAAGTTGTAAGTGGAGTAACGTATTTGGTCAAAGTGGAAGACAAAATTATGTATAAGCATGTAAATTCGTTACGAAAAAGTTTTTTGGAGGAGGTAGAAGTGAATCCTTCCACATATCATGTACCTTTTGTACCACTTACAGTGACCGATAGTGTCACACCGGTGGATAATTCACTCCAAACATTACTAGTCCTGTTAAGCCGATAGTGTCGGATAGCAATGTATCAATCGATAAATCTGTAGCCGAGGTTGTTTCTGTTGAACCATTGCGGCGTAGTACACGAACTATTAAACCACCACAAAAATTAGATCTTTGAATTGTTAACATGGGGAGGAAATGTGATGTATTGAACGCGAATATATTTTTAAGTTGGTATTGTAGTATTGTAGTTTAGTTTGGTAACAATGCAATGCATCATGTCCGTTTCCGTAAGTCAGTCATGTACCTACCACGTTGTATTACCTTCGTCAGTTATGTGTTAATATAGTCTTTTGTTCAATGTCCAGTTATTTACACGAACCCAGTACCGTCAAATATAATGGTGGGCAAACATAATAACTGGAAGTCATTTTCAGGACATCATTGCACAATTTGTATTTAATTTCTGACAAAATTGCAAATATTGGGTGAGGTTTGACAACATCAATCATTAATTCGAGTGGTTTTAAATATTCAAATAATCTGACCAGTACAGTGGTAAATAAATTTTAATTTTAAAATATAAGTTTCTGGATCAAGTGATAATAAGTAAATTATCCACCACAAAATTGTTAAAGTTTTGCCTTAAGTACCAAGAAATGTTTTAAATTATATTCTCAGCATAGTATGCTTTTTTTAAAACATGTCAACCCTGCCGATACCGCCTGGAATAATACACAGAATGCAATACTCACCTGCAGCAGTTTTTTCTGTACTACTGGTCTTTTCACTATCAGTGCTCACAAATACAGGATCTGAATCGTCCACTTCCTCTGTATCTACATTGCCAGTAGTTACGCTTTTTTCTACCACATCATCGGAAACTGTGTCCGTCTCCATTGGAGCAGATTGTCCATCACTAGCATCTGCGTTATTGCTTTCCTTATTTAGACTGTCACCTAGTACATTATCAGCGTCGCTTACAGAATCCTTTGTAACCTCTGAATTTTTTTCTGATTCTGCAGGTACGTTTGGTGTATCCGATTCCTGAACTTCCATGCCTTCTGTACCGGTTTCACCTTCCTTTCTGCTCGTAGGTATATCCTCTGATGTAACGCTATCTACAACATTGGTTCCACTTTCACTTACGCATGAAATTATTTCAGGTATAGTCATCAATGTGTCTGCATTAGGTGTTTCTTTATCTCCAGATTCATCTTTTTCAGTTTCGTTGTCTGTCCCCATAGCTTCTTCGTTAGGGAAAACTATGTCTGATCTTGTATGATCATCATCGTCTTCTATAGTAATGGCCGCAATCTCGGGTGGATGTGGCTCGAGTTCAGACGGGTCTGCTTCATCGTCTGTCAGTATGATCTCTGTGGGCACTTGTTGAAGATTGGCTTCTTTATCTGCTACGTCTGTAATCTCTTGTGACGGTTTTTCAACTTCAGAAACGTCTGTTTCATCGTCATCTGACAGTATGATCTCTGTCGGAAGTTGCTGAACATTAGTTTCTTGGTCAGTGACAGTTACAGCCTCGGTTACAGCAGTAATCTCCTGTGGTGGTTTGTCGAGTTCAGTAGTTTCTCTTTCATCGACTGTAAGTATTATTTCGGTAGGTTGCTGAATATTGTCATCTGCATGTACTGGCTCTGGAGGAGGATTTTCTAATTCAGAAACGTTCGGTTTATCTGTGGATGGTTGTGGAACATTTTCCGTTGTTACAGGGACCTCCTCTGGTTCAGAAGCTGTTATTTCATCAGGTAACCGTGTGATCTCTTGGGACGGTTGTTCAACATCACCTTCAGCCGTTACTTCTTTACGAGTGGTGCCTATTGATACCTCAATGTCTTTCTCCTTCGCAGTATCAATTTCTTCGTCAACATCCATATTTTCCTTTAGAGGTTCACTCTCTTCTGGCGATTGTATGTCAATAGAAAAAAAATCTGTGCTCTTTGGCTGTTCAACTAGATGCGACAGTTCTAAACCACTCGCCGGTTCGTCACATTCACCAATTAACATATTATCTGCAGAAGCACATTGTTCATTAAACGAATCTTCCAATAAAGAAGTAATAAAATCTGCCTTAGGTTCTGTTGTATTCTCATTTGAAGTGGTCTGTACGTCTTCTGGCGTCTCTCCTGGATCACCAATACTTTCAGGGTTCTCCATTATTGTTTCGGGAAGTGTGTCGGTCACGTCCATTTTACAAGACACGTCATATAAAAGACGGAGTTAAAAACACTGTACAAGTGACGGCACAATACCTGAAAAGAAATTTGTTTGTAAGAAAATGGTTGATGGTTTCTACTCGGGTTTCTACATATAAAAACACCACCTTTTCATCTTTTCATAATTATATATTCAGTCTACGTAACTATTTACCAAATAACTGCATTTGTGCCAAAATGGGCTTAAAATTTATGTATACTAACTATATGCACTATGAGATGTGCTTGCATAGTAAACCGTTTACCGATGTTTACAGAAGTTGGATTAAGCAACCTTTAGGTTTAGATGTTATAGTATAATCGACCATAGGAGATGTCTTCCCTGTGAAACTGTTTGTAGTAAAGAAAAAGGGTACCTTTAACAAGTATAGTATGGTGGTAGTTTTACAAAAAGAGTACCTATATTGATTGTAATTTGACTTTTATAAGGTGCACTTACTTGTAGCTCAATAGGCGCTATATGCAATCACGCATATACGTTAAAGTTTTACTCAGAGAAATGCGATTTCACTTTTTCACATAACTCTGAAGTCACCTTTTATAAAACAACTAAAATTTACGAAAATTACAAGTTTATCACCGCAAACAATGGCGGGACGTTTGCGTCTGTTGTCCAACCTCAAAAAACGAATTTGACAGTTTACATTTAAGAATTGAATGTTGCCACGTTGACTAACAGTTAGTACTTTGGGTAAAATCCAGGGGGCGGCTTGAGTGATGGTCGCACTTGTCGCATTATTATTGACGACAGACTGGTCAAAAAGATAAAAAAAATGAAATTAATAAAACTTCATCTAATTTATAAAAGTGAATGCTTCTTTCTAAGCCTTTAAATGTAATAATGGGGATATACATTCAATTTGTCAACACTCCAAGATTTATCACCACACCGTATCACCTCCAGGACAGTTTCAATTGGAATCTCTAAGTTTCAATGATATGTTGTGTACACATGGATTTGGTCGGTCCCTTTCCTACAAATCTAGGATACACGTACGCATTTACGCTCATCGACCGCTTCACGGCTTGATGGACAGAAATTATTCCCATAAATGACATCTCCGCCGAATCCGTCGCGTCGCAAGACATTTTGGATTGCAAGATTCGGAATTTCGGAACATAGATTACAACCAACCGTGGCCGACAATTTGAGTCCATTCTCTTCGCCGGAATCAACCGATCGTCGGAATCAAACATCTCCAAACTACCGCATATATATCATCCCCAGGCGAACGATAAAGTGGAACGCCTCCATCGGACGCTAAAAGCTGCGATCAAGTGCTACAGAATCGAGCGATGGGTAGAGGTGCTACCCATGATACTACTGGTAGTACCATGGGTGCTACCTATATCATCCTTTTGGGTCTTCGCTCAACACCCGCAGATGACTAAGGTCTACGGCGCATTTCCCTGCCTGCCAGAATTATTTATCAGCAGCCCGCATTATTCGGACACAACCGAGTTTGTGAAGACACTGATCCTCCTTCGAAGATTTCCGGCCAACCCCAGCAAGAGCACATAGAAAGTCAAGAATTTTCTTCCAACCGGAGCTGCATACCTTACCTAGGTACTCACGTTTTTATCCGAAAAGAAGGTCTACAGAAATCACTCCAACCCGTATACGAGGTACCGTTCACGGCAATTACCGGGCACTACGTCATAGACCTAAACGGCCGCAACGAAGTGTCTATCGATGATCTGAAGCCAGCATTCACCGCAAATCGTGAAATTCAGCAGTCCATTTTGCTCCAGCTACCAGTTCCTGCCGAGGAAACTGCATTTTCGACTAGACGACACGTGAACTTTCCCAAAAAGTTTATCAACTTTCACACCGCTGCGCTGAGGGGGAGCAATGTGGCGACGTGCCGCTTGTACATCCGGCAGCAAACTAAAACATACTGCACCCTCATTCGTCAAAAGGGCCGCCAACCGATAGGTATAAGAGCGTAGCGTCCCTGACCGCAAAAGTTTAAAAGCAGAGCTCGGAACTCTCCAAAACCAATTCCTGCTTCGACGGCACTTCAAGAAACAACTATTTCTCCGCCTGCAAAACCGGTTCGCCTTGCCCCGCACCCTGCCAGCTATCAGAAGACCCGCATCCGCGCTCACTCCGACGACAGCGCTCCTCGCGTGCACTTCGGCTACCATTTTGTACCTATACATATTCCATACAACGCAGCAGCATTTTATTTAGCGTCGCCTGCTAAAACTACCTTGTCCTGTCTATGCTTTCGTATGGAACTCTCCTTAAAACCATGGTGTAAAACAACGAGAGGTGTATAAACTATTCGTCAAATTGTGAAGCAATATCTTGGTCGATGCAATGTAATGAAAGAAAGAGGTGCGAAACTTGGACTCAATCTACATTTTCAATAGTAGAGTATTATAGCGTTTTCTTACAGAAATCACGATCGCGCTCATCAATTAAATAAAATATGTGTTTTTCCGCAAATATCGTCTCTTACTTTGGATTGACCATACAGTGGATTCACTTTGTGCTTATACTAAGAAACCAACCGTACCCATTCAATATGCAAGGTGGTGTAGGTAGGGGGTCGAATGACGAACTGAATCGCTTATTACAGGAAAATTAATTCGAAATTCTGAAAAAATTGACCGGCTTGGCCATTTTAGATGGGATGCCCTAGTTTTAATTAATTTTTTTTAATCTACATGACATTTGGACTAAATTTAATGTGATTAATTTGCAACGTCAAAATTTTACCGTGGTAAAAATGTGTCAAAATTTTATCGCTTCTGATGTAAGTATAGTTTGCAAATCCAAACTATAGTTGTTGCTTATAGATACGAAACTGTCACTCCGAACAAGTCTACCTAATGTATGTACCTACTAATTTCGAATGCACTTATCTCTTGCGCGATATCCAGTTTTGGTGCAAATTCTTTCGCAAATCTTGAAACCGCAGTGAATATATATATTCAGGAAATAATCTTGCCGAATATCCCGCGTGGTTAAAAAAAGCCTGATTAAATTTTGTCGGTTTTCGGCAAATTGTTTTGCTAAGAAGAAGTACTTCTCGTCAATTTTTCATCCACAATTTTTGTTACGTTGCAAATTGACTCGACGTCCTTCTAAGCAAAACATTAATGCACTTGGCCCTTGGGATATTAACTGTTGAAGATTTCATTTGTTTTTAGCGTAAGTATTTTCATCAAAATGAAACATCGCTATTGGCTGTACTTTGTCGTTCGTCACACCTAGTCCTTCTGCACCACTGAATCGATTTGGGCGATATGCTCATTTGAAAGGGCTTGGTCCAAGGATTCCGTGCATACCGATATTTTTTGGTTTTGCGCATGCGCAGTGTCAAAAAATCAGTTTAACGCATGTGCAATGCTAACTTTTTATTTATGAAGATATTTAAATGAAACTTTGTATGTGAACCCTACTAAAATAAGTAAAATTAACGACGTTTTCAAAATGTTGTTTTGCGCATGCGCAAAGCCAACTTTTTTGTTTATGGAAGCATATTTAAATGAAATTTTATACATAGGCACTTGGGATAAAGACAAATCTAACGCAAGTTACAAAGTGTGGATTTGCGTATGCGCAATGCCACAACCATCTATAATTACAAGCCGTGCTGCGAGGTGTGGCAAAACTGCATGGATGCCGATTTCCTAATTCAACTTGGCTCGTGTCGCAAAATACTTAAGTGCGAAATAGGCTTCTTAGCACCCTTATTATGCAATATACTATTTCAAAATAGAAAATACAAAATAAGAAACGCTAATTAAACACAAGATACTAAACAGAGCTGGGTCGAGCGTTCAAAAAACCGCTTAAGCGGCGAGCGCTCTAATTGTCTCAAAAATGCTCGCGAGCATCGAGTTTGTTTTGCAAAGCGAAACCGTTTGCCCGTTCCGAACACTGCTAAAGTGCTCGAGCGGTTTATCGCGAGCGCAAAACATGCTTGGGAGCGGAAAAAGAGCTTGCTAGCGAAAAACGCTCATGAGCGGAAAAACCAATAGCGGGCAGCAAAAAGCGCTCGACCGCTGAGCACTTTACGTATGCGCTCGAGTATCGAGGACAAAGACGAAGAAGGTTATTATTATAATATTCATAAAGCAAGAACATATTAAAAATTTGTTTCTCAAGATTTAACCATTTGCTTTAACTAAAAGCAGTTTTTCAAGATGTGCGTCTGTTAAACATCTCTTCTGATCGGAAAATCATTCCTGCAAGGAAAACAAGCGCTCCACAGAAGCCGTGTCATACAAACAGTTCTCTTATTACATACTTGGATATTGATCTAACATAGGCAAGTCCGTAAGCATCACTAAAACCATAGAACGATACAAAATTAGGTTTTTTTACATATTTTCAGAAATGTTTCAAATATAAAATACCTTGAGAAATCTATTTAAAATACAAAATAGTAATACCTATTTAAAATAGATTCATTTCAAATAATTACCCCGCTCTGGTCAAAAGTTTAAATTAATAAACGTCATATAATAATCGGCTATATTTGCCAAGAAAGCAAACCTATTCTTATTAGTGGACGTATAGAAGAGAATGAAGTGTATGTAAAACTTCCTGTAGTACCTACGTGTTGCTATGGAAGCTGCCATTGAAGTGGTGTTTACACGATTTTAGTTAATGCTGAGAAGTGAGATTCACATGCCCTCTTTTCGTGATCACCCATTATGTATGCAAAACGTAGGGCTAATAGCAGTCCATGTACTGTACCTATGGTCTAAGTGAATTTACCCTAGAACGCAAGGTTCCAATGTTAATTCACACAGGGTTTTATTATAGTAACAATGAATTTCCTCTTGTACTTACCTACAGCATTCAATTTTTTACTCAATGCCTACAGCCACTTTACTACTGCTTGTACCTAGTAGAGCTAGCGTTTGAAACGTTGCCAATGCCAGGACATCCTCCGTACTGTCATTAATGTATTTAGGTAACGTTTTCATGTTTTGGGAAAAAGCTTCCAAAACAAAGAAATTTGAGGCAATTTCTATCCACAATATCTTCTATAGATCAAGTAACAAAATAACTACACGAGACAACTTGATAACAGCAGAGTGTAAAGCTATTCTTTATACAATAGGGTAGCACTACCGCTTTCACTCAACAGGACAACAGAGCGTTTACACCAATGCATTTAAAGTATGGCAACATGGAAGAAAGGTTGGCGATGTCAAGGAAATATTTCTTAAAGCATAATTCATCGGTATTAATATTTTCTTAAGTATTTCAGGGTCCATGCCATTTCTTTGCAAATTTTCTGACATAGAAAGAACTTATCCTGGGATAATTTCCGATACAGCATATTCTTCGTCACCAAATGTACTTGGATAAAAACCTCATTATCTTACCTGATTCGCCAACTTAGCCTACCTTCCCCTACATGAAGCAACGTCACTGAATCCCACACACAAATAAGGCAACTATTGCATTTGGTGGTAATGCAAATTGCAAATCACAGTGTGCAAATTAGAAAATGTATTCACAATAAATACTTATCTCTGAATGGTTTGTACTTCCGTTTCAGCATCCTTAAAAATACCACATGATCGAGTCATGAAGCAAGCATTTTTTTGCTTACACTAATCCAAATTCGAGTAATTACTCAATTTTTAGCAGACAAAAGAAAAAAACACATTTTCTATTTAAAGCTGTAAAATATGCACATTTAATTTTATACTAAACATGAACACTTTTAAAGTGTTTAAACAATATTGTCATGTCCAACATGCCTATCATTCCATAATCCTAAACAAAAAATGATAATACTTTCATTTTAATAAATGAACATGTCAAAATCGTTTCTGCAAAATATCAGCAGTTCCTTAACTAGATTGTTACATTTTTATAAAATCAACTAAAATCATGATTATGCTATATTCTGCATGTGAAATCCAATTTAAGCGTATACTATCTGCATAATTATGACAAAATAGCATTAATTTTTAATTAATAATAATAATACATAACTATTAGTCCAGTCAAATTACCCTTTGCGCTGGATGTTGTCACTTCACCTAACGAAATCGAGGGTACCCTATGTAAAAAAATCCGCTGAATCCGAAAATCATAACCCCCCCTGGCCGGAAACGACCGGAACATATTGTTATTAACAAAAAACGAAGAAAAAATGTCGTATTTTTCACATTTTTTTTATTTGTTTATTTAATTAATCAATTACTATGAAACCTACAGTGATCGGTTTGTCATACAGTTTTGTTATCAAAAGAAGTTACTAAATACGGATTTTCAAAAAGATTAGATGAATTTTACTTGGTAATAACAAACTGTTAATTTTAGAGATTAATTTTTCACATTTTTCCATAAAAAACGTTCCAAACCAACTGTAGGTATCTTATAGAAAATTTTATTCTAAACAAGTTCATGCCTATTCATTCTTTCCCTCAGAGCAATAGTTAACAAGATATTCGAAGTCAAATGCGAAAAAACACGACATTTTCTCATTTTTTCTTCGTTTTTTGTTAATAACAATAATATGTTCCGGCCAGAGGGACTATGATTTTCGGATTCAGAGGATTTTTTTACATAGGATGATACACTTTCGTTGAGTGAAATTACATCCCGTTTATACTACTTTTAAAGCTAATTTGACTGGACTATATCTCATCGCATCGCTTTTACGTTTTATTTAGGTCACAAATTGCAGTCGTGAAAAGGCTATGTAAGTTTTACTAACTGATCGAACAATATTTTATTTACTAGGTACATTAACCCTTATTACACTTATACGAAAAAGAGTATGTAAAGAGAATCAATGCTATAATAGACCTATGTTGAGGGAATGTTTTATTGGTTAGTTAGTATAGAGGCCCGAGGCCGTCATGATTTTTAATACAAATCGTTACTTATTTATGCCCATAGTAATATTTTAGTTTAGATAATGAAATATTAAATTAATTTTGATGCACTTTAGCCGCACAACATGGTGTGTAAAGCTAAAGACACACAGTAGAAATCTGTACTTTGTTAGTATTAAACTGTGTCAATAGATAAATAGACACAAATACTATAGCAAATGGTTTTATAACGAAAAAAAAGGGAACGCAAATTTATATAGCACTGAATCTCTTTATATTTAGTACAATTTGCTTAAGTATATAATGCTTTCGTATAGAATAGCTATCTAATTCCAACTTCAGCTCTAATTTGTTTTACAGTTTAATAGCTAATTACAAGAAAAAATAGAGGCGTAGGTACGTCATGTCAAAACTAGAATAAAGTATGTAGGCGCAATATGTATTTGATGATATTGCAAAAAAATGAGCAACGTCAAAAATTAATTGTCATGAAATTACAAAAGTCTAATCTGTAAAATCCACTCATTTAAAGATTACAGAATTCATTAACACACTTAATTCAACAAACGCGTATTATTGTTCCATTAAATTATTTGCAAAGGTGGCCAAGTACTCCTTAGCTTAAAACTGGGCGCAAAAAATATGTCAGTATCAAAGTGTGCTGTGTATATGATTTTTGTACACAGCCTCCTGGTTACACCACTAGGGTTATATAAATGGTAATACCTTGTCACCACTTATTATGTAACTAAAACTTGTTTTGAGTGCTGACATTAAAAAATATGTAACTTTCTTGACGATTTTAGTTACAATTGACATATGGCTCTCAAATTATGCTTAATAGAGACAATAAGACAAAAAAGATTTCTAAAAATTGCTCTAGGAACATGGTAGAAAGTCAAAAATTAGATGTGGATCGAACATAGCACATAGAAAAAATCAATATGTGAATGTAATGTAGGTATCTGGAATATTATTTTTAAACTTTAAAAAAGACCAACCTATCGCAATAGTGGATGTAGAACCAAGAAGTGCAAAAGAGTTGCAACGCTATTTAAATTAATTTAACTAAATTTATCCTTGTTTTACAATGAATTTATGCAATGTAATCAATGTAAAATTAAGTTAAAGTTATTTAGTCGGTGTTGTGAAACAACAGAAGCTTGCCAGACCGACAGCATATTACTGCTTTAAGGTAAAGAAAAAACAACGCGCGGATAAATTGGCGCTAACCACTTTTAGCATGGGAGTTGTGGGCTCTGCGAGTGAAAATGTTCCCACGGCTTACTCTAATTACTATTGTAAAACAAATGCGCAAAAGAGGAAGTAAGTGTTTCTGTAAGTTATACCTCGTGTCAAATCTCGTTGGACATCGTCATTATTTGCACGACGAACAAACGAGCGTTTGGGCACCTCCAAAAGAGCGCAAAATTGATCACCTCTTCTAATTAAATTAAATAGCGTTACATATACACACAAGTACTTGTACTGTACTTGAGTTTGCACTTGCCATCAGTCATACTTATTTAATTACGTATTAAAAAAAACAATCATTATAGTAGATCGAAAACCTGCATAATACCTATCCACCTAAAATGCAATGTAATAACTAGTGTCATGAGCATGTCCTTTGACAAGATTTCATTATTTGAAAAGTTAGCATGAAGCTATATACCCACAGCGAATAATTTCTCTGTAGAAAAATATAGCATAATTTTATAATGTACTCAGTTGTTAACCCAATCCGTGATCCTCAAAAAATCCTTGAGGCGTTTCCTCCTGAAACAAGGTAAAGATTAAAACATTCGTTAAAGCATAAACCAATATGAATGTGGATTACTGATTGAATTGCTTAGACTACAAGTAATATAAAAAAATTGAGTCACATACCTAAAAGAAGAAATCCAAAAGAGAGCACCATCCACTTTCATATTGAAGAAGTAATTCACTAGATTTAATGTTCGGCAAGCAAAACAGTTATAAAACTAGCAATCAAAGAAGTTTTATTGTGCGTTAAATAAATACAAATTATAATATACAAGCTCAGTGTACCGCACCCTATTGTAAATTCCCTGTTAAAGAAGTAAAAGCTACTATTACCAAACCACAAATAAAATCGCTAATAATAATTAAAGGCTACAGCGTTTGAAAATGTTATTTACGGAAAAACTACAAAATTAAAATACTAGATGGCACAGCACCTGTTGTTAGTATCATATTCTACAGCTATACAATTAAAAGATTCGTAACAGATTTGAGATCTAGATTAAATGCACATGGAAGCATATATGTATATAATGATAATTATTTGTATAAAAAAACGTAAAAAAATTTGTATTATAGTATTCAAGATGTACACGTCTATAGTAAATTCCTTAAGAAATATCGAATACGGGGTTAAAATCATTAAATTGCAATACTCTTATGGAGTTTCCTATAGAAGCTGCCTACGATCAACAATGATATGTATGTAAAAAAATCACATTTCCAGATTAGTATGTGAACAAAAGGGACTAGAAATAAATCCGAACCTTTAATTACACTCCAGAAGCAATACATTGGTAACTGTAAAAAATGTAATCTTAATTGTATGGAATCAAAGTACATGTATATGACCTGAGTTACAAGTAACAAGAACATATAGTTTAGGTACTACATAAGTGATTAATCAGCAAAAAAATAATTACAATTGCTTGCTGTTATTTATTTAAATGATTAGTCAGATGTAATAACTAAGAAGTCCCTTCTCGAATGAGAGAATAGAAACACGTAAGGTTACAGCAGGCCTATGTCTCGTAAAGCGCCCTCCATAGCTTCGTCCTTTGGAAAAACAATTTATAAGCTATGCGCTCTGCCATATACATGCACATATATAAAACGAGTATTGTATCATTTCAATGCTGTGATCAACAGCCATAGCCATATAACTCACCTCAAATACCATTTTCCTCAGCTGTCGATTTGGAAACTTTTTAGTTAAAAAATTCACAAATTAAAATTATACTGAAAGACGACTCTTCTGTTGAGATTTTTCACCAACTAATTGCTTTTAGATATGATACACGCAGAGGATGGCAGGTACCGTTGGCAAATTTTGATAGAAGCTCAACCGCTCTAAAATTATACAGTTAGTCAGCTGAGTCGCTAAATACAGGAGTAGTCAGACTACTGGATCTGTATTTTGATGACTATAGACCCTCCAGCTGTGGTGGATGCCACGTGTACAGTACCCATCCCCACCATACATACATTGTGGTATAAGACAATTGTAAAAAAATATCATAAGCTGCTGGGTGATGATGAATCACACATGGAAATAATCTCGGAAATAATACTCTGAGGATAAGTACAATTTTGACCAAATAATTGGAAGAACCAAGATAACATTCCTAGCAGTATTATGGAACTATTAGAAAAATGTGATGTAGACCTTTTCGCCGTAATTCGACCATTGCTACTTATTACTCACTACTCATCCAGCCATCGAGTTAGCATAGAAGAATAATAAATAAATAAATAAATAAATAGCGAATGCAGAATGACCTTTCTCCACTCTGTGCAGATTAAAGACGTGGTTACGCACAAGAATGTCTGAAGAACGATTAATGGGATTGTGCATGTTGTACACAGAGACATCAGCATTGATATAGACACGCTCATTGAAAGATTTGCCAGGAGTGGGCTCAAAAGAATTGAATTTATTATTTGAAATGGAATCTTGACTTACTTCACCCATATGTATCCCTTTTTGTATATCAATAAAATTAAATGTGCGACTAAGGTCTTTTGTATTCACAATGTGCTCCCCGCTCCTCTGAAAAGTTTCGCTGGATACGCCACTGGCACCATGGTTTTCAACTTTTGTTTTTTGTGTAGTATATCGTTATATTTGTAATAAAAATGCTACTAAATACAGGGTGTACTAATATATAAAGATAAAATTGATGATGATTTCTACAAAACGAAACGTTGTATTGAGAATCTCTTAAAGCTGTCTTGTAGAACTCATAAAGTGGCAATGAGAAAGTGGTTTTTATTTTTTTGTATAATAATAACTTTAGAAAAAAATACAAACGAAATCGGAAAATTTCGGTTGTTCTGGAATATCTTCTGAAGTAATCGAAATCTTTTAGTTTTCTTTAAAGCATAATAATAGCTCTTTAATTGCACATCTTTTCTCTAATTTGACCATCGTCATATCTTCTATGGTTTCGGACATCCCCATGATAGACATCCTCATCTTGGACACTGTGTATACAGAAGTCGTTATAAGAAAAACGAGGGTTTCAGTTATGTTAATAGAAAGATTACAAAAACATTGTTGTTGTGGTTGTCATAAGAAACGATAATGACTGGTCTTTAGGACTGGTTCGGGAATTGTTACCAGACAAAAGACGGCCAGAGTCGTCTGGTGAGGTTGAAGACTGCCCGCGGTCATGTTCTAACGTCAAATACAACGACGTTATTTCACGGAATGCTCAACACTGGATGATCTGCCCGCTAATTTCCAGGAGACGAAGGAATTGGACGTTTGTGCGAAAAGTGCGCGAGTGAAACAAAACGTTACTATCAGGAGTACTTGTGTAACTAAGAAACCTAAGAGACAGAGTTAGATAACTGAGCAACAAATTAGTATTTTTTCGTTTATGAAGAAAAACGAACCTATATGTTATTTAAAACAGGTCGTTTCAAATAACGCATGAATTTAACAATATCTTTACCTATTCTGCTTCAGTAAATTATTATAAATAAATTGTTTAGAATGACTTACTCTAATGCACAAGGTGATTAAGCATGTCCAACATTTTAAGATGTTAATCAGTTAGAGAAAGAAAAAAACTGTATGAGTACTATACGGCACTATACTATTGGGCATAATGATCTGATATGTTTTATGAGAAATCCTGAGGAAATTTATCCATTCCTGCGAATTGTCAGGTCACAGTTACAATTCGTTTATTATTTGTAAGTGTTATGTCCGAGCTATAATTTACATAAACAGAACATCCAATTATATATCTGCAGTAACAAAGTAAGAGGAATTATGTTTGTATTGAGACATTACAGTGGCAAGTTGATCACAGCAATATGTTGATTTCACAAATCCCCAAAAATTGCATATTATACAATGTAATTTGTTGATTTTTAATTTATTGGGGGTTTAACGAATGATCTTCATAAAAAGTAATGATCAATATTCAACATTCCTATAATTATAGTTAGAGAGTCTATGTAGTAAATGAATAATATGCAATTTATACGCTCTATAGATGGCTGAATTTGTTGGGTGATATTGGTACCCAATGATAGCACATTTCATTGTGCATTTTTGCGTATAGATGGCGACAATCGTAATACTTACAATAATCAATGTATAACGGCATGAGGCTAAAGATAAATACAGACTGTAGCAGATGATATTGACATCTGACGATTTAATTAAATGTTTCATAAAATAATAAAAACAAAAGCAACAATCAAACTAACCACAACTGCATGATGTGAAGACGAAAGCAATATACATATTACATTCCAAGAAGATAATAGACTTATGGATCATTTTACAGTATGGATTTACTCCCTTTAGAAAATAAGTGGGACGTTATTCCATTATGAAATTTTGTTGAATAATATATACTAAACTGTGTGCATTGGGCAATTTAGTTACTATTGCAACGTTAATTTATGTACAACAAATTCCATTTTTTAACCAAATCTTCGGATACATAAAAATAATACGGTAAGTTGTAAAACACCAACTTGCAGTAAATCAATTTTATTTAACACATATACAACGTTAATAACAACCGTTCCCAAGAATAAATTTTGAAAAAACTTAATTGTTCAAAGTTTGCTAATAATACTGTGTTTTAGTGCTGAAATTGACTAGAACTAAACTCTAAAATAACTTCAATAACCATACATGGAACTAATAAAACAGAAAAAGCGACATTCAAATAGACTCAAGCCAGATAGTCATGCACGAGACAATTAAAAAACGTCTATATCTATACACGATGGCATGAAAGATGTTAACGTAGCAAGACTATTGCAATGTCAATTTTCAATTTTACCCATTCCATGGATATGAATAATAAGAAAATATAACCTACATTAAACAGTGTATAATGTGTATATATATATATATATATATATAATAGCATTTATCACAACAATAACAAAAAACATCACAATAAACTCTACCACTTGGCACCATTGATTATAATATAACAATAAAATCAAAAAGTTTTTTGGCAAGATCTATTTTTTGTTTTACGGATATGTTTTTAAAACTTGTCCGTGATTACAGGAATTTCCCATCATGATGGCCATTTACTAGTCATATTCAAACTGAAAATTTGTAAATAGGCAACGAGATCTAGATTGTATTAAAATTTTGTTCCGATGCACAGTATCAAATTTGTAGTTTCCAGCTAATACACTCCACTCATTCCTCGACAATATATCTTTTTATAAAGGCCGTTCATAATCCAAGAAATGAAAAAAGCAATTTCGCAAGAGATTACACCTATTACCTTAGACATGAAATGAATATTCTCAAAGAAGTTGTATCTAGAAATTATAGGTACATAGATTGAAGCTGAGAGATATTCACGTAAATAGAAGTTGCTTCTGACGCAAAGACAGTAGAATGAATAAACATCTGGACAAATCCCAGGTTTCCAAGCTATATGCCATACAACATACAAGTTCTTACCACACTTTTCGAAAAACCATTTCCAAATACTGAAGGTGTAAATAATTCTTTTGAATCGTGATACCACTTCAATGTCTCTTTTATTTGGCGTCATACAAAAAATTTGTAAAATATACGTTTATATGACTTTTTAAGACAATAGGTATGCATATGGTTGACATGAAAAAAAATGGAAAACTTTGTGATTCAATAGTTAGAAAAATTATTAAATCTAGCGTGATGTATGCCATATCACACAGAAAAGTCCTACATCAACTGTTTCAATGTTTCGTTTTGCGCAATACTATCCATGTCTGACACCGCGCATCCTAACAGCACACAGCATGCTAGATTTGATGTTTTCTAAATATTGAATCACGAATATCTGCATCATTTTTTTGTATTTCAAATATGCTTATTTTATGTTGTGGTACAGCAAATTGATTGCTCTTTTCAAATATCTTAAAAAAGCATTGCATTTGAAAAGCACAGGTTGCATCGATTTTCGGTTAAACCGGATGTTTCAATAAGCGACCGGACAGATCGTAATGTCGCATATAACATTATATATGACAATTTGGTGTATTTCGCCAAGTAAAAGAGATATTGAGGTGACCCTTTTATCCCGCACGCACTGTATTTTTTAAAATTTCCATTTCCAAACATAAAGCGCAATATTGAAGCCATGGATACGCCTATTTAATTTTAGAATAGTAAGGTAGAAGTTTAGTTGACGTCCTAATCTGAATATGGTGTCTCACTAGATGACACTTTGTTATGATTTTATGAAACTGCACTTGAGGAGTGATGTTCCATACTATAATGGTTTTGATAACTGCACTGTCAGTTGCAATGATTTGCTACTATATTGACAGGACATCAAAATCGTTGAACAATTTTTCATCGCTGCATCAACACCAAATTTTTAAGGAACAAAAAATATAACTTTTTTATTAATTCGATAGGCTACCTGTTGGTGTTACACCCAAGAAATATTTAAAATGGCAACTAGCATTAGAAGTACTATGTCCTATTTTGGTTGAGACTGTAATGTACTTCAGCTGTTTTAAAGATAGAGATTTACGATTTTCACGTTCCCGTACCACTTTATGAGAAACTTTTAATACCACAAACAGAATCAATCTAGCTACGTTTGTTTCTGAGATACAGCGTGAAAACGAAAAATTTGACTTTTTGGGAAGTTACCGTATCCCACAACCCATGTACGATCGAAAAAAGATCAAAACTGCCTACTTGAGATATTTTTGCCTAGAATCAAGTGGCGTAGTAAAAAAAAATGTAGGACCACCATTTCTGAGATTTTACCCAAAGTTGGTATTTTTTAAATGCAACGCCCTGTATATCTTAACGTCAATTTTGTTGCATTCTTTTTCCTTATTACATTGATGTATCACAACCTATATATACCTTAAATATATAATTATTCTTATAGATATTATATTATATCATATTTTTGGAAAAGACATGTTTCTACTGTCAACGATTATTGATTGCTACCAGCTGCCTTAATCACCATGGATACAATTAAAAAAAATCTCCATGATACCCTACTATCTAAAATCAGTAAAAAAATAAGGTTTTCATGACTGAAATTAAAAAAAAAATAGGTTGTGATTCATCAATGTAATCAGGAAATAATGGAATACAAACCTTAAAATATACAAGGCGTTACATTTAAAAAATACCAACAATCTCAGAAACTGGGCCAAAAATTTTGTTGACTATGTTACTGGTTTCTATGTAAAAATATCTCAAATAGACCGTTTCTTACCTTTTTAGCGCATTTTCCAACGAAGTTCGGTGCGCTATTGCAGCCACTTTCTCTGTCCGTCCGTCTGTCCAAGGCCTTAATTACTCCTACAGTTTTCAAGATATTTAGTTCGTTCTTTGTGCATTCGGTAGCGTATCGCTCTGGCACAAGGAAAATCTTGACAATTCAACTGCGCATGCGCAGGCTGAGCAATATCAACTGCGCAGTAAGTGTCAACTTCCTTATTTATGAAGATGTTTCTTTAAAATTTTAACTATAAATATGCCTTTAGTAATGAAAAACAGCGCACATAGGTATGGCCTTTGGAGAAGTATTGATCAATTCGGATCAATTTATGGAAAATGCGCTGAAGTTACTCGCCTTAGGGCGAAAGCCTTTTTACTTGTTTCTATCTAACGTGGGTAGTAAAATATGATAACATCCCAAAAGTCAAACTTTTCATTTTCATTATGTATCTCAAAAGTAACTAGCTTGATTCTGTTTGTGGTATTAAGTTTTTGAAAAAGTAACACAAAGTCGCGAAAATCGCGATATAATTACAATGAACGCTAGCTTGAATTACTATATTTAACTAAAAACGTAAAAACAACACCGTGTGCAACGTAGAAAACGACAGTGGGGTACATATTCACAGATTAGCTGTCCGTTTATTAGAATTCAGTGTCAGTGTATTGGACATTTGACTGCATATCGCTGTATACATATATTACATTATATCATCTTTTTCAAATTTTTGAAAAAACATGTTTCTACCATCAGCCATTTTTGTAACTGTAACTGTAAGAGATAGGTAGGTAGCTAGTTTAAATTTGGCAAACTTGTGTAATTTGACGGTTAACAAAATGCCGTAAAATGCTGTAAAAATTCTGACTACTTTCGGAGATCTTGAGAAAAACCAAATTTTGCAAAACCGTTTTTATTTTTTACCGATGCTATTTAAAAAGATATTTCAAAATAAATGACACAATTAAGGCTTTCTCTCTACAAGATGCTAATTTTAAATCTCTGTATGTTTCGTCTCTGGTTAACAATCATCAACTTTGTTATGGAAGTCATTTTTAGTTTTTGTGTTATTGATTTCAAAAATGTAAATATCACTATTTTCTAATAAAAAAATGGCGCTATGAATTCGTAAAAACGCAAGAAACTACGAACATACGATTCATTATGAAATGGAAAACCAAACAGAAAGGGACATAATTTCTAGTATTAGCTATCAAAGTTAGGTCATGCTTATTGGGAAACTCTATATACTATGTCCCAGATAAGGGTGTGTATCATGGGGATCTCCGAAACCACAGAAGATACAACGATGGTCAAATTATAGAGATGCGCAATTAAAGGGTTATTATTATGCTTTAAAAAAAACCAGAAAGTTCCAACTTCCGGAAAATCTGCAAATTTCGGTTTTTCTGGGTTATCTTCGGAATTAGTCGGCATTTTCTGGTTGTTGTTGAAGGATAACAACTCTTTATTGCGCATCTTTTCTCGAATTTTACCATTGTTGTATCTTTTATGGTTTCGGAGATCCCCATGACAGACATCCTTGGACACAGGGGAATGGTTCCATGATCTGAGAGTTTATTTTTGGCTTTTGTTGTTTTAGTGTTGAATCTACTTGACCACATATTTCTATATTGCGAATTTCAAACAATAAAAATATAAATGGAAATGTAACTCACGTCGATTATGAGACTGAAAAAAAAAAGATATCACAAACGCAGTTAAAAGTGCAAAATGGAACGGATCATGACAATAGAGAAGATTTATATTTTAGTTTCAATAATGGTTCTATACACAAATTTTCAGATTAAGTATATGCTGTTAATGAATCATTTTGTACTCAAAGGAAAATCCTTGTTAATCACAATATTCACATGCCATTAATACCAGAGTAAATAGGTGCAGATCATACAAGAAACCGTCACAATGTCTCCAACATTCAAGTTAATACCTTCTTTACTTCCATAAAGTAAGCAGTAGGTAAATATTTCATAAACAAATACACAATACTTTCTTGCTGCCTTATGATGAGTCAGTAACTGCTTATACTCTACACATTATGTAATGGTATATATCTAAATAGTGTACATTTGAGTTAGCACAAAAACATTTAACTTTATTGCAAATCATTTTAACTCCTCCGATTTGTGGATTCAGCACTCATTTCAGTGTGTGCAAGTGAGGCTAATCACATACATCCAATCAAATTGAGGCCAGCGAAGGAGTAAAAGAGGAAAAGAATTACAAGACGTTAAAATATGTAAGCAATGTTTGCTGAATGCTGAATTCAGATGTTAAAACAAGTTAAAGTGTAATTTAACAAGAATAACAATACAATGTGACTGTAAATTAAATTCGTGCTAAGTAGTTTCTTGTATTAGTCCATAACAGACACAATGTCTTTTTGCAAACCTGTAGGAACTCGTAATTAATGCAAGGAGCTAATTGGCACTCATCAAATTTGTTTAAACGCACACTGTACAATTACCATTTGAGTGAATTAGAAAACTGTTGTTGAATAGTCTCTCCTAATCAAGTGATTTAAAACAACGACAATTGTTTATCTACATTTTCAAATGCAATAACATTCACAACAAATATAGACAACGCACCGAAGCATTTAGTGCAGAAAATTAGCAGTGCAGCACAAATGGGTGTAAAATCAGCTCAATTAGTGATTCACTCGCTACAAAATCACACACAGCAAACTTGTAAATTAAAAGAAGTACTAAACAAATCTAGTTTCCAAAAAACACGACACAACAATCTATAAATCATAGCTGGTGTTTCCATTACTAACCTCTTGTAACAAATCCTGCGCGGCAATTGCTTTTAATACATTCTTTTTGCTAGTTTCTTGTATTTCCCCACCCAACAGCAACTCGTCAAGAATAAAGTAAGCTTTCTCAAAGTTGAATATTATATCCAACTCGCACACCTGAAAAATGTATGGTACAATAATGCACAAGGGAAACACGTATAATTTTAATTACACTTCCAAAGTATTTATCCAACAATTCCACATAGCGATGGATCACCTCCAGTGTGAGTAACTCGTTATCATCTTGCTCAATTGCACAACAGAAATACAGACTGGCATATCTAAAATATGTCGATATTTTACAAGTTGATAGATAGAAATCGAAACGTACCGTTTGTAAACCACCTTTAAATCTTTCCATTCCAAAAAGCTGCACATTTTCGGTTTTCTGGCCAAAATGGTCGTGATCAATTCGCGGGTTATCTTTTTCTTTAACTTATCAGGATGGGCTACATACCATTTCTGTAACCGTAGCTTTCCTTGACGACTAAATAACAACATAAATTGCATCTGAAATTTAAAAAAAAGCAGTTAGTTAAGTACACATTTCTGAGTAGGTATTTCTACAAATTAAAATAAAACTAGTTTTTTCCAAATCACCCCCTATAATTTGTGGCAATGCATACCTAATGCATTTCATACAGTTGTTGTCGATGAACACCTTTATTGGTTCAGAAACTATTACCAATTAATATTGGCAGTAAAACCTCTTGGTTTACTCTTTCAAATGCTTTTCAGAGGTATGCTTATATTTTGATGTTGATAGATAAGTTAAAAGATTTGTAGATGTCGAACTATTGGTTTGAGAAAATGAGAACTGTGTAAACCATTGATTATACACATAATCAATGGTGTAAACCTACTAAGCATTTTCAAACACACACCCTGTATGTACAACCAATTAAACAAGTACCTACAGATTTTAACAACGAACTACAAGTCCACATTTCAGTTGTTGACCAATTAGTACTACGTAATGATACAACAAATAAGCACATGAACAGTTCAGAATACCTTTGAGGTATTTACACAATTTGATAACATAAACATGAAATACCTATACCTTAAAAATGTTTCAGAACAAATGCCGGGACACCATCAACTAAACTGCAAAATTCTTTCCCCAGGACGTGCTGGTGTGATTACCATTTAGTTACGTTAACAAACTGACTGTGAACTACGGTGATTACAATACGTGTAAAAACACAATTGAAGGTTAAATCACTCACCATTTTTTTATCAAAATTTCACAAGCACTTCAAGTTCGTTATCTCTAGTATTAGTCACGAGACTACAGTATAAATAGGTCTCAAGAGATAACTAAATCTATTCTTTTCTACATGTACGGTTTACAATTCCTAAATTAAAACTAATACAAATTGAATTACATAGCTTACTGAGAAAGTTGGAAGTTTGACAGTTATCAGGTGTGGCGTCAGGCGTGGTGGTTACATATGTCATATGTTGGTTAACAGTCAGGTAAAAGAAGGTATTCTAACCACATCCATAAAACTGCAAAGTTGCCATTTTGCTTCTACATTGAACCATTGTTTATGAATTTGGATACAAAAATGCACAAATTGTTGTAAAAGATTCATTAAAAGTGTAACACAGAGACGAAAACCTTTTCTCTGTTTGCCACGACAACATTTTTGCTAGCAGAAATATTGCAAACGATAGACCATAGATGTCATCACAAATGCTATCTCACCAAACACGAAAAAATCCATTAGCAGAAAAGTTTGCAAAAATAATAGAACATGTTTTAAATCCTGTCTCAATCCTGCGCGCAAATGTGCGCTGTGTCTCACAAGTCGTGGAGCTCCTAGCGAGTTTATGATTTTTGCGGTCTGTCCATTAGCACGATATCTCGATAATGAATGGAATGGACCGATTACGATGAAATTTTGCAAGAGGATTCTTTATCAAATTTGTAGATCGGAGTTCGTGAATTGGCAATGTAGACCAAAAAATAAAGTAGGCTCTTTTGACATCTCCGTGAGTTATGAACCAAATTGCATGAAATTCAATATGCGTATAGCTTTAGCCATATAAAACGCAATTCCAAAAATTGAAGCTAATCGATCAACATTCACATTGCCCTTTTGGCATCTCGACCATTTATAAACCGAATTGCAAACTTTCCTATTTATGAAAGCAAGGAATAAAAGCAAATTTAACGCCAGTTTCAAAATTTAGTTTTGTGCATGCGCAGTGTCAAAAATTTGGATTAATGCATGTGCAATGCTAACTTTTTTATTTATGAAGATATTTAAATGAAACTTTGTAGGTATGTGAACACTACGAATACTATGCGATCAAAAATGAGTTGCTGTCGAGTCACCTTTGGAACTTTTGTTTACATGGAAAATCGTATTTAACTTGAACTTCCAAAGGTGACTCGAAAGCAACTCATTTTTGATCGCCCGTTATTAATAACTAAAGTTAACGACGTTTTCAAAATGTTGTTCAATTCCAAACTTTTTTATTTATAATATTATATTATAAATTTACTATTTACGCATGTTGTATGTTTTATTTATGAAGGTATTCAATGAAATTTCTAATGTAGACAATGCGTAATGCTATTTTACGAAAGCATTTAAAAAAAAGTTTCATATGTAGAAACTTTGAATAAAAGTAAAACTAATGCTAACTAATAATTTCAAAATTTTTTTGTATTTGTATACGTTCCACTATTTTTCCTATAAACTGTATATACTTCGACGATAGGCGGCTCATTTGAAACAGAATGGGGTAAGGATCTCGTGCCTACCAGTATTTTTTCTTGGTCCTAGGATTAACATTATTAGGAGGAAAATACGCTCTCGTCATTTATGTTGTTATGACTTTTTAAACTTGTTTTTAAATTTTGCTACCCACTTGTAATAATACTTCCTCAAGTTCTACCGCTGACATAATATTTTTAAATTGTTGGGATTGATTCTCCGATTCTCAGCTCATCAATTAAGTTGTGGTAGGCCCCATACTCTTATCCAACATTTCTTTTGTGTTTCACAATATTTTTATTGCATGAAACTACTACAGCCGCGGCAACACGTACCTACGATGTCCTATTGGCGCCAAAACGCCGCATTTGCGGAAGTTAAAAGAGCTGCTAGTGTAAACACTTGTGTGAGAAATTGCGACAGCAATGGCTCACCCAACTTGCCGGATAGTTTATCGCGACACTTATTGCTCACAGTGTAAATACATGTGGAAGTTTCTCGCGCGAAATTGTCGTAAGTAACTTGCTATAGTCTATCTGCGCCTTAAGATATCGTAAGATATTCCTGTTTGTTTTAAGTACATAACCAATCAACCCCTAAAGAGCATCTAAAAAAGCGGCAGAGCTCATCGGAGTGACCTTACGGAGTCATTGGACTTGACCCATTTTCAATTGGCTTATTTGTTACATGTGGTATACAGGGTGTTACATGACCGCATGTAAAAAAAATTTGGTTGATAGAGGGGACCAAGACCAGCACTTTTTCCAAATAAACCGATGGTCCAACGTGTTTCATTTGGGAGCAACCCCCAAAGAAGTGGTGAAATTTGGATTTCTTCTTTAATTTTTTTCTCAGCAACCATAAGAGTTACAAAGATGGGTGGCACGTTTTTGAAGGGGTTTTTGGGTCCGCCCTATCCAATTTTGATAAAATTTTTTCAAAATTCGTACCACGAAAGAGCGCACCTCCATTTGGGGGTGCGAAAAAAAATTCTGATTTCGACGAAATTTGGTATCTGGGGGATTTTGAACATGAAAATCACGAATTTTTGAAAATTCGAAAAAAAAAGTTTCACCGCAATTCTTAACCGGACAACGAAAATGGAGAGAATTTAACGAAATTAGCGGTAAGAGGTAACGATAAGAAATAAGAAAAATAAACATTTAAATTATAATGGTGACATTCAGAGTTTTTCCGTAAGATGCAAGACGTAAGTAGTAAGAGGTAAGAAATGAATTATTTAATTTCATACCTTATCTCTTACGGAATCATGCTTTGTTTATTAAAATGAGAAGGTATTCGACCGTTAAACATTTGTGTTGAAGGTGTATTAACACTAGAAGCGCTATGATTATGATGTCACTATCCATATTCGTTTACCTACGTCTATGAAAAGCAAAATAACCTTTGGTACTACAATCTCAAACGTCAGTTTGACAACATATATGACGCAAACGTTCTTCCCTTACCTCCGGATTTACGTTACCGCTTATTTCTTATTTCGTACCTCATACCGTTACGGAACTCTGTACCGGCCTTTAACATTTGTTGTAAGTTCCAGCATGGTTTATGTAGTATTATAGATTTATATGTAGGTATATAGTAGATGTGAAAAACAAGCATCAAGCAACCTACCGAAAATATCAGTATAAAATTAATCAATTAACCAGTCTGATATTTGTTACTAAATTGTAGTTATATTTTCAATGCGTATCAGACTTACTCAACCTAGTTAAAACAAGTTTAAAAAGTCATTATGCAAACATAAATGACGAGAACGTATTTTCCTCCTAACAATATTAATGCTAAGACCAGGAAAAAATACCACTAGGTACGAGATCCTTACCACATTCTCTTTCAAATGAGCCGCCTATCGTCGAAAGTCTATACAGTTTAATGAAAAATATTGGAGCGTATATACAAATAAGTACAATATACAAATTTTGAAATGGATATTAGTTTTACTTTTATTCGAAGTGTCTACATATTATGGAACTTTTTATAAATGCTTTCGTAAATAGCATTGCGCATTGTGTATTAGTTATATTAGTTTTAGTTTCATTCAAGTTGCCTACATATGATATTTCGTTTGACTGCTTTCATAAATAAGAAAGTTGGCATTGCGCATGCGCAAAACAACATTCTGGAAACGTCATTCATTTTACTTATATTCGTAGTGTTTACATATAAAGCTTCATTTAAATATCTTCATAAATAAAACAGTTACGGCCGGTTGCAGGAAAGCGAATTAGGCTTGTCTCACAGTGGAAACGTTTACGCGCGAACTGGGATTCGTACGAATACGTACGTTTACGGGGCGAACTATTCAAACGTACGATTTCAAACGGACCTTCGCACATTAGCGATTAATAAATCGTCCGTATTCGTGCGTATAAGGCGCGGTTCCCACTGCAGCGATGCGATAAGCGATGCAACATGAGCAATCTTTTATCGCCCGATGCAATTTTTATCCTCGCAACACGATTGTGTTTGTGAACAGTTGCTCAGCTCATGATGGATACGCAGCGAATGCGATTTGTGCGTACACGGACGTACAATTCTGACGTTAACATGCGTATTTCAGTTCGTGCGTAACCGCTTCCACTGTGAGACAAGCCTTATAATCAAAATCCTACATTATTTGCGAAATCTGAGTTTAAACAAGAATGTTGACATTTGATTGGCTGCCTACTGTAATATAAAGCCAATCAAATGTCTTAATACCGGATTAAACGATAATCCTGGATTATTTTTTTTTGTGCAACTCGCCGTTAGCATCGCACATGCGTTAAACCAAATTTTTGACACTGCGCATGCGGAAAACCAAAACATATGGATATGCACGAAATCCTTGGACCAAGCCTTTTCAAATGAGTCCTATATCGCCAAAATCGGTTTAGTGGTTTAGAAGGAGTACGTGTGACGGACAAACGGGCGGGCGGACGGACAGACGGGCGAGCGGACGAACGGACGGACGGACGACAAAATGCAGCCAATAGCGATTTTTCACTTTGAAGAAAATACACTAAAAAACAGCTATAAATTGTGTTCAAATCTTATGCAGATACAGTATGTTTTAAAAGATTCACAACTCTCCGTTTTGATGTATTCACATTTGATTTACTAAGCACGTCTTGTCTAGATGTTTCGTCTATTTGCAAGCACTTTCTTCCGACACTTCAAACTCGAGATATTTACACTTTAAGTTTTGACATCGCCGTTAGATATGTCTCATTCAAACATTCCAATCGCCGTTTGTAAGTACCTACTCTCCTCCAAAACCTCGTTTTTAACATATTCGTACTCACAGTTTTGACTTCATCAGTAGATAGATAGGTATATCTTATCCAGACGCTTCATATTTTTCCCTTTGCGAGTATTCTCTTTCGACACTTCGCTCTTGAGATGTTCCCAGTTAAAGTTTTGATCTGAACAACAACTCTAGAGTAATTCCACTAAAAGCAGTTTAAAACCACAGAAGTGGGTCGGGCCGTTCGGACAGACGGACAAAACGCAAACAATAGCACAATGATAATTAAAAAATGCACTAAACAAACATTAGCGAATTACTTAAATATTTAACCTACAAATATTAAAATCGGAGTATACCTAATCTACTTTGCAGTAATTATACCTATATACCTACTAGGCGTCATCAGGCTGTGATTGATCTGTTTGGTCTCGAGAATGATCTCTGACCAAATATAAAACCTGCCAATTCTCTGATACGACGCCGTGCGCCGTCCGATCACAGAATGATCCCTTTTGAATGAAGTTACAAGGGATTTTCAAAAAATGTTATCGCAATTAACAGATATACCTTGAGAGCAGAGGCCTAGTTTGAACTCTTTCGTGAATGAGATTAGCGTATATGAATTGGTTTTTAGCACAAATTCGTGTCCCTATATTTATAGTAACCCCAATAGGTACTCTTTGTATTGTGTTCAGTTCACAACTCATACGTTGAGAATTAGATTCTGGTAGGTACCTACATCTTATTTCATGTCAAAGCCGTTTAACGTCTTTATCCGCTTTATACTCGTGTGCTTTACGTTGGTCTCTAATAAATTGATAAGCTGCGCAATAAACGACGCCTTGCGTCGGTGCAACCGCCAGTTTGTGATCAATGTGTACGTATACAAGCAGTCTTCAGTCGGTATAGTGATTGCCGTCCGAAACTAATTCGTCCTAGAAATTGTGTGAAGTACTTTACTACATTATTCCGTCATTTTTTATAAAAAAAAAGCAATGGTAGAAACGAACATTTTTATATCCGTTAAATTAATATACAGGTATGATTTAGAAGTATGTAGTTATGTGGAATTTAGAATATGTAAGTCTATCACGTTAATTAGGTTCGTTAATTACACGATCTGCATGCTTTCAGGAAACTTTGTAGATACCTATACGTATCTATAGTCTATACTTATTTTGTGTTCATAAATCTTTGCATTTTGATCTAGGAACTGATTGAGAAAATCCCGCTTCTCGGTTTGCCAAAGTTTATACGTAATATAGAGCTAATTAATCCTTGTGTTTGCTCTTTATAGTGAATTATTCAGTGAATGAATATCTTCATAATTAAGGGCACGTTTACGTACTTGTATGTGAAAAATTGAAAATAAGCAAGTGTCAAGGCCTTCCGCATTTAATTTAACCCTGAAGTGGAATGAGGTAAAAATTGTCGAATGTCCTACACTATCTCTATGTCTAAATCATGACAAAGAAATTATCTAATGTGACCAATATTTTTAACATATGAAAAAAAGTAGAATTTTAATTAACAGATGAGTTTTTACGTGTATCAGTAGTTATTCATTTAATGGATTTTTGAGAAAAGTATACCTTCTGCATAAGTTAATCCATTAGTACCTATACACCTCCCTAATACCAAAAATATGACATGACAATTATAATCGTAAATCGATTAGTTTCTATCAAGAATCAAGCACATAAATAAGATTACTTAATTGATACGAGGACAAACAAAAATTTATTTGTACATTTATAATAATTACGCACAGGTCACACTCGATATATATCTACCTATATGCTTAATAGACTGGGACAGGAGGACCGGACAGGACCATTGTCTATGACCCTGAGACTATCTAAGATATATGAAACTGGGGACAAAATGTACCGTAATATTAATTAATTTCCTACCTCCAAAAAAATTGCTAGGATGTAATTTGGTTCGGTGATCATATGTGAACTAACAGACTGTTTCAAGGACATTTTGTACCTAATAGGTATGTACACTATTAAAAGCGTTAGTATTTAAATTGCAAGCCAGGGGAAAATCTACAAATTCATGTCAATATTTATAATTTCAAATGTGGTTTAGCGCCGATCGATTTCATGCATTTGCATATAGGTAAAATTTTTCATCTCCTGAAGCAGCTGTTGAAAGATTCAGAGCACTAGTTTCTGAAGTAGGTATATCTTTCTTTTATAGGAACCTATATGTAGGTATGTGTGACTGGTAGCGTTTACAGAACACATAAAATGAGTCATTTTTGTCTAAAAGTACCTACAATTTGAATGTAAATTCCATTTAATATCCACAATTTTACTACGGTATTGTACGTGGCACGTTCTCTATACTGTGTTAAACAAACCCCTTAGATAATAGAAACATATGGAATATCTACTTTATTTACAAACAACTTGAAAACATAAAATTTGTATATTTGACTCTGAAGATTTCTGGTACTTAATAGTTAATACTGATGTTAAATGGAAAACTTGTTACCTTCTCCAAACTGAATTCATACACGAATATTGATTACAGTGGAAATTTCTTTTACAAAAACCAAACGGGTATAAAATGACTAGACCGAGCCTTTGAAAGATATTTCTAATTACTGTCTCACGTTAAAATTCCAATCGGTCAAAATTCATACTGATTAAAATAAAAAGATACTCTTTACCTTAATCATACGCCGTCTAAAACTACCCCTTTGGGATGTCCAACGCTGGAAAACTGGATCATCTTCTATTTAGGATTCTTGGAATGGAACCCCAAATTGCTGACTCCTGGCTAGTAGCGGGGATTTTCCGCGATCGTAACTAACCTTGATTTACGATCCAGTGAATTTACTTTGGTGTTAGGGGTTAGGCACCCACTTACACTTTTTTATAACTATTGCCAGCTTCTCGTTGCAAACCAAAAACCAAAGTTTTAAATCAACATTGTTGTGGGTGTCACGAGCAAGTTTTCCCAATAGTTTCTTTTCGTGCGGATCCATTCAACTTACTTGGTTTGATTCAAATTCACCTGTTGCACACTAAAACTCTCTTGCTTCGACAGAAATGTTACGTAATCCCTACGCGTATCCTATTAGTACGCACACGCCCGTGATTAATTCTTCCTTGTCGCCTCTCCTTTGCAATTTGAACCGTACTGATTAACGACTATCCTGTAAACAATAATCATGGACTCATCCCTATTCTTTTTCATTTTCTAACACGCCCCGAAATGGAGCTAATACGTACATTAGGTACATCGGCCTTCTTTTTAATATTAACTAATACACTGGTCTAAGTATTTCAAAAAATAACCTTGGGTCTATTTAACAAAATTTCAAAATCGCACAGTTCGCGCTTGGCACGCTGTTCCATGACATCACTTAAGTACGAGTAATTCTGATTTAGTTGTTTTGGTCAGGTAAAAGATATTAAGATTGTGATATCGTCCGTTAGATTGTCGCCTTTTCCTATGCGATTAACGGGTCACAACGCATCTGGTAACCCATTGACTCACAAAATATAGATCGCTAAATGGATTAAGTATTTTGGAATTAACAGACCTCTAAAGGACCCACTCTGTATAGAGTATACTTCATAACACTCATACATAACACTACCTAAAGCTACCCTAACAAAAATCAACTGTAAACCATCTAACTACCACCATCCCATAAAAATGCGCCTACAGTAGTGCTAGTAGAGAGGAAACTAGGTACCTTAATAATTACCGTGAGGCGGTACGGTCTGAGCGACCCACAATGGAAACCTAAAACTGGCATCAAATGTATAAAATCAATCAACCTGATCATTAAAACATGATTAACACATGCGATACGTTGGCCTATTCTAGAAGAACCTTTGGTTAAAATTTCAAAACAATATCCCTATAAACAAGAATAGTGACATTGCGCATGCGTACATCTGATTCTTACATAATGCGGTATGCTTGTCTGTACTATAAGGATCTTTAGTTAAAATTTCAAAAAATATCTTTAGAAATAAGAAAGTTCATCGTCAAGAGTTATTAGCTACCGAATGCAAAAAGAACGAACCAAATATCTTGAAAACTGTAGAAGGGCATATAAAGTTTTTCCGCCGCGTAGTGTAGTCACCATCAGGGCGTGGACGAAGGCGGAACGCCCGTTCGCTGTCGAGGCATACTTTTCTAACGGTCGCTCAGTCATAGCCACGCAACGTGCATTCCGCACTCATTTTAATTTTTTTTCTTCACCAGTTTCCTTAAAATTGTTTATCCACGAAACAATGGATTGCCGGCCAGGAACACGTCCACGTGGCGCGATATTAAAATGAGTACGGAATGCACGTTGAGGTGGCTATGTCTGAGCGACCGTTAGAAAACTATGCCTCGACGGCGAACGGGCGTTCCGCCTTCGTCCACCCCTGATGGTGACTACACTACGCGGCGGAAAAACTGTATATGCCCTTCTCTCAAATATACCTATTCCCACTTTCGTCGGAGCAACCGTCGCCCAAGGTCGCCGAATACAAATCAGCAAGTTCCTCTGCCCCACCCTGTAGTTAAGGCCTCGGTCGGTCGGACGGACGGATAAAGTTACCATAATAGCGCGTTCCAACATCGTTGGGAAATGTACTAAAAAGATCAAATTGCTGCTGGACGCTTAATAGTAGCGACAAGCAGTTAATCAGCGTGATTCATGCGGACAATACTCTCGAACAGAACATTTCGTTTCTTTTATTTTTGTGTAAAAACATCCTAGGTAACATTCTTTATTTTTCACTTTACTGTAATTCAATGATAACTCCTTGGATACAGGATACGTAAACAAGTTCATAACAACCAGGGCGTAATGAATTTATTACGCCCTCAAAATAGATTAATTAAAATCGTTGAAATTTTTTTAGTAAAGTCAAACTAAATACAACTTGTAATACAAAAATTAAGCACAATTGCCCGCCAATATGAAAATTATAATTTTCAAACTTTCCCGAAAATGTAATATTTTTGTTAGAAAGGCCAGAGAAGTTTATATTTTTATCTGGATGACAACAGTTCCAAGTGATCTGAATATGATGTAAGGCTAACATTATTCGAAGTTTCGCCTCCAGATGAACCCACCGCGCTTGCAACAATGCTAGATATTCGATTTTTGGAAATTAGGCTGTTAGTCCAGTTCAGACAACGAAGCTCAAAAAAGGCTGAATAGAGGAAAAAAATCATATGTAGAAGCCAATTTTGGCACAGACGTAGGGGAAGGTATCCTGAACAACATTGTAGAAGTACTGAGGGCTGGGGTGTGAGCTAAAGGAGGGGAGAGGGTTAAAGGTCCCTTTTTTTTTAGTTTTTCGTGAATAATTTACAAACGGGTGCTCCTAGTTAAAAATTTTGCTCTAGAGATTTAAACAGCATACAATAATTATCTACAAAATGATATAGCACAGTATGTAATAATAATAAACTTAATGAGATCAAGAGGGAAGAAAAATCAACATTTTTAACATTTCTTTCGGTACGCACACGGGGAGCCCGAATGCGATTATGTTACGTAGGCGGGAGGGTGAAGGTCCACGGGGAGGTCAGTGCATGTTGGTGGACAGCAAGGATGTCATTAGTTCACTCTAATCACGCTATGAGGCTCCTATTGTTCAATTGTTTCATCTATTCAAATGCAACGTGTTTCCCGATGACAACGACGCGAACGAACTCATTCAGTTCCATTGTGTTTAGTGAGTCCTTAAGATAAGTTGCTCATCTTTAATTAAGCTAGTGTTTTACTTTACTTGATGCCACATGATTAACTATGGCTGATAATCACAGTGATTTATGTCATGTGGGGACAAAAGAAATAAGTGGATTAGTAAGATCTAGTATTCTGAGAAAAGATAGGCAAATAGACAGTTTTAGGAGGAAAAAAGAGCGGCCTGTGTTTTTTTACAGATACAAGAGTGGCTCAATAACCCCTTACCGCCCACCCAATAGGGTTGGGCCAAAGGAGAAGACAGGGTACTAATTCCCAGTAACCACAAATGATTCAGTGGCACCAGAGGCGATACTTAACACAATATTTTGCCGATGTACAACGGGGTGCAGAGGGAGGTATGGCTGCCGCAAAGCAGGAATTGCTTGCTCCGTCGCTTGCGCCAATTGCCTTGGTATGTGCACGAACGACGATTTTGACTCTTGCCCACACAATCTCGCCTCGTAACATCGCAATCAGACTTGCCGGGGATACACGACTATTTTAAAACTTTGGATTTTTCTTCCCTCTGTATTTCATAGTATCATCATGCATGACTTATATACTGATGTGCTATATCATTTTGTAGGTAATTTTATGGCGTTAATTCTCTAGAGGAAAATTTGTTTTCAATACCAGAGAAGGTTGAAGACTAATGGCATTTTGTTGGGACCATAACAAGAAAAGCAGAAAGACGAGCACTTATTATTATGGCCATTTGCACTGACAAATTTAAGCAGAGCTTAGCTTAAGCGTAGCTTAAAATCCATGACAACCATTGTCGTAATAATGGTTGCCATGGATTTTAAGTTACGCTTCAGCTACCTGAGTTTCGCTTAAATTTTCGGTGCACACGGACATTAGTCACGCAGATAAATAATTTGACTTATTATTATTCGTCCAATGATGTGCATAGGCACCGTAGTCAGCATGTTATGGGGAATACAACTTTGCCAATTTTAGAATCGCTTTTTCTCAAAAATACTGAATCTTAGGGGAAAAGTGTAAGAACAGTTTTTGTAAATAATTGCATGATCTACAATTTGTCTGACCTATTTTTATCATAAAACGAACCGTTCCTCTAAAAAAGCAAAAAAACCCGTTTTTGCGAACTTTGACCTTGAATAAAATTTTTTGCATGCACGGGATCGATGGAAACTTTTCACAATTTATGCAAGGGTTAATGTCTATTTTGACCGACCTATTACTCACTTCTTTACCACGTTATCTCACGGTACTCGTTGGTTGCGCAATATACTCGTATGTTAAAATGCCGTGGAAAGTCTCGATGCGTTTGCACTAAACTCTCACCATTTTGATAATAAGCTTTGAGTGTGTAACCGCGGTGCTCATCCGTTCAGCGCTCCATATTATAAATAAGTATGAAACTAGACGGGCATTTTAGCATTGGAAATGCTTTATGTTTTGTATGGGTATGAATTTACCAGGTTTGCCGAGTAGAAAAGAAGACAAGTGGTGTCGCGTCTAGTGTTGATTGTACCGTACTCGACTGCAATCGGTAGATTCAGGAAAAGTCGCGGGTACTGTCGATGCGGTACTTACTTAACAGTGCGCAAGGGTTTCGTTAATTATTCAGAAAGTTTACGTTTGCGACACGAGCGAGTGGAGTAAGATTACTCCGTGTGAATAAGGGTTATTTATGGCTTTATAGGTTATACGGTTATCATTTCCAATGTCTCCGATGGTTGCAAGGATTGCGAAATCAGTGAATTTTTGTCCGCTGCGGAATCAACGAAGTATTTTACACGCTGGAATGAGATGCAGGAGTTTACATGGATTAACCTAGACGAGCGTTTTTTCCATGTTGCTTTGCTTTTGCTCCGCTAGCGTAAGCGGAGCGAACGCAACCGAACGCGTGATTCCGCTGCAAAATACTCACTAGCGTTTATTTTCTGAATTTTTCTGCTCCCGTCTCAGCTCCCGTGTAGTTGCAATGGTAGCGCAAGTTCACTCAAACCGCATCCGTCCAACTCCCGCTCCCGTTCCCGCATGACCACGTCGGTTGGAGTGGACCCTGGCAAACCGCGCAGGTCTTTGTAATTAGGTGATTCCGATAAACTCTGCTCATCCTTGGTACAGGTGTGTCTCACATGGCTCATGAATTACAGTGTAATCTCCTTAGAGTGCAAAAGGAAGCGCCTTACACACACAGTTTTCGATTCTTCGATGTTATGCCTGTAATACCTCACACTGTAGGTGTTGTTAGCCCAACGGGCAACGATCAAATAACTTACAACAAATACAACAAATCTAATCTATTAGAACTTGAAAAGTACCGATTAAATTTAATATTGTTAACGAGAGTATTCTTTTTTATTTTAGGCTGCCAACAACACCTCGTAAACATGGAGGAGTTGATAGTGTTTAATAGGCTATGACACGGGACGGCGACATCCCAACTATCTTCAATCCTAGAAGAAACCGTACCCCAAGTGTCCTCGTTACAGATGAAGGTGTCGCTAATGGATTATTTACACATACAGACTCCGTTAGTAGCCAGCAAGAAGCCGTTGCGACTGCCACCGAGCAAAATCCGACAACATCGCAACCTGGTGGAATTCGAAGTCAACTCAAATCTTGTTCCAGCTCATTGTGCTCTAAAAACGCTAGAAAGGTACGTATTTGTATCTGCTATGTCATTTAATATAAAATAAGTTTTCTTGTATATCAACCGAGATCCTTACGTAAGCGAATGTTTAGCAAACAAAATTCTAAAAGAGATTTCTTACACACAGAGTGACAACGAATTCGTTTCAAAATACGCCTTCTTCTTTAATTCTTTTCTTTAATTAAGGACGGCCTTCAATTCAAGAGAACCAATAGAGGTCGCCACTCACACATTGCAATCATAGATATATAAATACATAGATACAGCCATACCCCAACATAGTTCAAAAGGACGTACCATCTATTACCATCACTTTCGGCACATTAATTACGTATAGCGCTATCCTTTATAGAGGTACCCTGAGCATGGAAGACAAGATTCGCATTATTTATTATAACTGTCAATCAAATTGTTAGCACAAATCACACAGAAGATTATCATATTTGAGACTACAACATAAATAAACTGCGTTTTTATTTATTTAAATCGCATAGCAGAAAGAAATGTTACATTTAAAATGGAAGATGTTACTTAGAAAGGTGGCAAATGAAGAATTTGAAAAAATTACAGCTGACAACTGGAAGAAAGTGTGTGAACATGTGGAAAGTGATTAATTTAAAAGAGAATTTATATTGGTTGATGTTTCTGAACTTTATAATAAGTGTTAATAATGACAGTGATGATTCGGATTTGTCAATTTCATCTGGCGATGATTCGGATTGTGAACTTTTACAAACGTAATGAATGTTCACTAAATGAGTATTATCACCAATTGGATATCATTGTTAAGATGTTGTATTTATTTTTAATAAATGTACACGTGTAGCTTACTTACTACAATTAGCACTATAATTTCAAAAACAAACCCCACCGATTGGACATTTGCCGAAAGGTAGGCAAGACGCGTAGCGACCAAAATTTGATATTGCACGCACACACAGTCTATAAATCTCGTTTTCCTAAGAATATTGCACGGATCCTTCTTTGTGATCATGATACAAACGCACTGCATCAACATCATATAGGCCAAAATGATAATTGGAAACGAAATCACTTCCTGTCGCAACTTAATCTCCGTTCCCATTACGCCTAAAACCATGCAATTAAAATTAAAATGTTGAACATAAACTTTATTTACTTACGGTTTTTTTGATATTCTGCAAGCCAGCAATGAATTCACTGCAGCACATCATGCCAAACAAGGTAAACATAGTCCCAAATTTGAATGGCGTAGCTCTATGTAATAAAACTATTTCAGGAATAACAATTATGGACGCGTATATCATTATGGCAAGCACTAATGTTATTCGTATTCAATTGATAACGCCATAATTACATAATATTTAGTGAAAAAACCGCCCATCATGTTTAGGGCGAATATTTTTAGTTAGATTTGATTTCGCGCAATCGTGAAATGTGTCAACTGTCACATGACTTATGGGACGCGCTAAGTTTGTTTTAAGCGTCCGATTCGCGTACGACATAGTGGTTAATGCAATAAAAAGAGATAGAACATGTTTCTTCTTGGTTAGAAAGTAATGGAGAGATGTACAAATTTCTTTGATATGTTTTTTAAAAACCGAGGTACGTTTGTTAAAGGATGGCTGTATCTAGGTATTTATACAATGCGATCAAAAATGATTGGCTGTCTAGTCGCCTTTGGAATTTTTGTTTACATGGGAAATCCTATTTAACTTGAACTTCCTAAGGCGACTCGACAGCCAATCATTTTTGATCGCCCGATATATCTATGATTGCAATCTGTGTAAAATCCAAAGTAAACGGATTTTAAAACACGATGCAACCTCTGATATTTAATAGCTGAACTATTAGTAGAGTGTTGGTTGCCTAACTTCAGAAATGGTTAAATTTTTTAATTCAAATCGTAGGGTGGTAAGTAGATACAAAAAGAAGTATAGTAAATTCAGATTTGAGTTAACAGCGTAGTTTCTTGTTAAATTACTAAATAAATGCGTTTCGACGAAATTAAGTTTTATAGCATGTTGAACTCAATTAAAAGAGGTATGTGACATTTATGGGCGTCAGTTTACTAGAAAATCTAAATACGGAATTCTTGCGAGGGGCACAGTTAGGCTCACGACTCGACGCGTCATAGTCCAAAGTAGAGATTGTTTTATTCAGTTTTAGCGGTGACATAATTTGAGTAGTGCTAATTCGACCGTCTTTCGAACTCTTCCCTAAAAAGTTGACCAACTTTGAGAGACGTAAAATTTCACCACCTTTTTTTAAAAATCCTTGCCTATCTGCTGTCGAATGATACCAAACGAGGAGGTCAAGGGACAATGCTAAACAGCACTCGATTTCGACATTCTCTGAAAGCGCCGTCCTTCCCCCGCAGGCCAAAGAAGAAGAGGCCCTATCGGCTATGGGACCACAAATGACTGAGTAAGGAGCGAAAATGTGGCACAGTTCATTCATTTGTGTTCCAAGATCGGGAACCAGTTCCTGCATGCGGGCATTAGGGATGGAGGCCTAGGAATCAGCAAGCTTAGGCGCTTCATTCCATGGGTCCTAGCAAGGAGGTTTGAAAATCCGAAGCGTCTTAACTATCCTCTGACCACTGCTATTTTGGAAAGGTGAACGACCACAAAAATGTTACGGTCAAAGTAATTAATGCGGCGATTATAATTATAATTATTCGGCGGACGTGATACATTTAGGGTGCATTGCCGTTTAAAACTTACGGGAAGGGAAACTACTGCTGTTTATAGTATCGAGAAGATATTGAATTTCAAAGAAATCATTCCGCAAAGGCTCTTTCTGTTTCCGTCGCTCAATTATTCACATTGACCGGTCATTAGGAATATTCGCCGTCCTTAACATAAACACGAAATAGAAATTAAACCAGTTTATTAAATAAACCATACGAGTTCAGGTATACAAATTGGCAACAGGACTGACCTGTCTACATCATTGATAGCTTAGAGAAGGAAAGCATAGCCCAATATTGAAAGAAACTACTCAAAAAGCAAGAAATGTGAACGTTTGTAAACAAATTAACGGTATGCAACCAACATTACAGCAATACGCAAAAACCCATAAGCGTTATGCTTCTTCATACCTACTCTACTTATTCAATGATATCCATGTCACTCTTTATGATTGCACGCGTAGATTACAGACGGACGTTTGTAGTGAAAAGTGAGTTTGCAGTAAATTTGTTCTATCGTAATAATTGAGATCTGACCAACAATTACTCCTATTTAATTAACGAAACTCCATACTTGCAACACATACCTATAAAGAATAAAAACTATAATTAAAAAAAAAAGAAATAATTTATTGCAACAGGTATTGCACCGTTTTTAACTATTCACCGAACACAATATACCTAAATTATAACATTGGCATGTCATTTCTATTTCCTTTTAAACCAACTGTGGAGTCGAAACGAAATAGATTATACTCGTAGGTACATGAATATCATTTAGTTAGTTGACATAAAATCAATACCGACATAGAGATTACTATTGTTATTAATATTCAACGAATAATGATTGCTGCGTTATCAAAAAATCATCTATGATACGAACAGTTTGTTAATATCTAAGCGGAAATTGGAAAAGATTAAGTTGGAAATAAATATTAATGTGAAGTTTATTCTTCAGTTGCCTACACGATAGATTTTATCATTGAATACGTATTCAATGATTTTACTTTATTGCTGTGAAACAAACTGTTAGATAAATTCATCCTTAAATAATGGTCCTTTCGTCGCTAGTGAAACGTGTTACTTAGGTATTCAAGGCCGAAGATCGAACCCGACCCGCAGACTGGCCGGATATGAGATCACAGCAGCTGCAAAAAGGAAAGCAACTGTGCGAATGCGTATGGTTATTATTTTTAACATGTTGTGTCAAAATGGGTTTTATGACTTATCTTGTGGATTCTGTAGGTATACAGTGTGTCTTAAATTTAAAAGTCCATCCTGTAATAACAGATACAGTACCTAAAAACAAACATAAACTATTAGACAAACATACGTCATATCTTGCTTCGTTTTCGAGTTATTGCGGCTTAAAGGTAAAAAAGTGCCATCGTAACCTTATATTGTTTTCAGTTTAGTACAAAATAAACCCCCAAAGAGCATCTAAAAAAGCGACAGAACACCTCGGTGTGACCCTACGGGGCCATTGATTTGACCCATTTTCAATAGGATTATTACATGTGGAATATAGTAGGTCAACTGTGCAAAGTTTGAACCAAATCGGTCCAAGCGTTTGACCGTTGAATGAAAAAATTCAACGGTTTGACAGTTATCGTGTTCACTGACACACGGACACCATCGACTCCTCTATAAAGCTTGCAACGCTTTACTCCGGCGCTTAAGGACGGCAATGCCAAAGAGTGTAGTATGATCTTTGGCAATGCTAAGTAAGTTTAGTGGGAGTTACCATGTGATGGCGCTTCAATTAATAAAGCTTAATTTTTTTAAAAATCTAATCACACAATAGGTGTCACTATAAATGATATTAAAAGGTATCATTAAATGCCGTACTTTTTATAATGTAGCCATTCTGCAAAAGATGGCGCTCCTATCAACCAGGTGTTACAGTATCTGATACAATGTTTACAATCACAGTACCAGACGTATAATGTGACATAACTGAATAAACAGAGGCTACTGTAAAACTGCTAACGTAGGAAGGTTATTGTACTATTTATATTTATACCTTTCTTTGTGAGTTTACCATCGTCGACTTTCCGTTTCACTTGTGAAATTTTGTTTGCAGCCCGCGACTTAATTTTTTGTGGCGGACCACTAAAATGTATAAATTTCCCTCAAATACGAAATGTTTACAACATCACTACTAAAGTTGCATACAAAGATGTTATGCTAGTTGAAGTGTGACAGCCCTGCTCTAGGAGTTTAAAACGAAACAAAGCATCGAAAAGTGCGAAAAAACGGTGGGAAAATATTCGCAACCGGACATCTAATCGTCAATGTCCAACACTGAAGATCAAGATACCTTGCAGCGGAGATA